TGTGTGGGTGAGAGCAAAGGGTTCCTTGCAGTTGTGTTTTAGTTAGTCACTGGTTGAACGGGCCATGAGGAAGGTCAGGTGAGCAGAGGGCTGTGTGGCTGTGTGGCATGGTCTTGCCACTGGGGCTGCCTGTTTACTCCTTTGGGCTACAGGGAAGGCAGAGCTACTTCAGGGAAAATTTGTCTGCATAAAAACCAGAGCAGCTGAGAAGGGACAGTGCAGATGGTGCTAATTTCCAGAGGCCATATGTTTGGAGGGACCCCGGGTACCCCTACAAGAATTCTTTGTTTTCTCAATGTTCAGTTTCAAAGGTGCTCCGGGGGTCTCCTCTTTGCAGGAGACCGCTGCTTCCTCCCACTCGTCCACTCCCGACACGTTTGCTCCATCCCCCGCTGCTCGCCGGGCCCCGCAGCTGGATAAACAGCGATCCAGCACTTACAGCCCTCCGGTGCCTTCCAGCAAGGCGCCGGCACGGAGAGAGGCTTCCTGAGCTGCCCGTCGTGGGCGGATGGCCGTGCTCAAGCCCGCGTGCCAGCGCCAGCGTCGCTCCAGGCCCAGCAAGATCAGGTTCAAAACACACGGCATCTGAAGGTGCTAATTACAAACCGGGGTTCTCTGTCCGTGCAAGGCTTGAGGGATTTGGTGGTCTGGGAGCTCTGGGTCTGTCTGCTGGCTGGGCTTAGCTATGGAATGGGCTTAGAAATGTTCACGGTAGCTTTGATCTCTGCTCTGTTGTTGACTCGTTGTCCCTTCTCTGTTGACAGTTTGTATGGAAAAGGGATCTAGCTCATCTTCTGTGCAGCACCACCTCTGTCTCACCCCGAAAGAGCCTGCTGCAGGGAGAGGAGGAACCCCCAGAGGCGTGATTCGTACTTGTGGCTGTTGATAATATTGGCTCCTGGTTGTTTGGGGAGCTCTTTGGAGTTCACCACCATCGAGAGCTGGCCCACTTGGGGACCAGCAGGCCTGTTCCAACACAGCCACCCCAGTCTACCTGGGAGTTCAGGACACTGGTGACACGAGGGACAACATGCAGTCATGTTGTGGTGACTCTGTTGTAGTTCAGGTGGCTTTTGTGAAGGGTCCCATGCAGCCTGGTGGACTTGTGGGTTTGCCCCCTTGGCTTCCAGGGTTGTCAGCATCCCTGACTAGGCCAGACCTCTGGCCAGGGGCAAGTCCAGTGCACTGCCCAGGAGAGGCTGGCTCAGCCTGGCCACCAATGGTTGGAGCAGTTGGGAGTGGAGGTGCACATATCCCTGTCCTCCTTTGCCAGCTCCTTCCTCTAATGTGCGTTTACTACTTGCTGTATTAAGAATACACTTTAGAACCTCTGCTCCACCTTCTTGTTTATCACTGGGACAGAATGTGACCTTCATTGTGCTGAAGCTTTATTTTGCTTTGTAAAATCCCCAGTGCTTTGCAACAGCTTACCCAGCAGCATTTCCTCCCTCCCCACTGTCTTTGAGACATCTTGCCTCCTCCTCCTCTCCCTTTTTCTCCTCCTCCAGCCCATGCAAGATGATGTTGCTTTTGGAAATGACTCTGTCTGAGGGCTTCGCTTTCTCCTGGGTCACACGGACAATCCCAGCATTTGAAACCCAGTCCCTGGATGGTCTCTACCAATTGACTTATTGCAGCCAAGATTGTGTCCCTGCAGCTCCCTGATGTGTGTTTACACAAGGCTGTGCAGTCCCCCCTTCACAGAGCCATTAATTTTATAGAGGGCATATAACAGAGATGGGCTTCCACTATGCCTCCTGCCTTTGATCTGTGTGGGGTGCTTGGCCTGGTGGGCCCAGAGCTGCCGGCAGCGCTGATTTACTCTGCTCTGTGGACGGAGCTTCTGGAGCAAACAAGAACTTATGTTTTCTCTCAGTGGTAACAGCAATCCCGTTACAGGCTGTGCTGCTGGCTGGGTGTGTTGGGGCTGGAAGGGCAGGGATGGCTCAGGGTTTGCTTGTCTTTAAGTTTTTCTTTCAGTATTAGCTCAGTGGTTTGGCTCACGCAATCTGTGAGTGCCCCAAGCCCACGCAGACAGGTAGGCGGGCTATTAAGGGTCTGCAGTGTTACTAATGGAAATAAAGTCCATGTATTGGCAAGCCATAAGCATTGACCTTGTGACAGGGCGCTCACTCTGAAACAAAATCTCTCCAAAACAGTTCTCTTACAGAACTTCATTGTCATCCAAACCAGACCCAGAAAACTTTCTCTCTTTTTTTTTTTTTTTTTTCTCCCTGTCTGGCATACATTAGGATTCCTGGATCTGAGGCTGACCTTGCCCTCCAAAATGAACTCTCTGATGAGGAACCCTTTTGTTGTTTAGACTTGGCGTACCAAGTAGGACACTGAGCTCAGCATCAACACTGGTTGTGGGCGATTGCCAGACCAACCAAATCTGGATCGCCCCTGGGATCCTGTTCTAAATTTGATTGGAGTTGTTTGGAGTTGTTGAGCCTTCTGGCTGTGAGTGTTGACCTTAGCTCTGTCTGTCAGTCATCACGAAGGTGCTAAGCTTTATTACTTTTTAACCCAAAGGTACCCATTAGGGGTATCCTCTTCTAAATGAACCTTGATGAAAGCTGTGTCTAACAGTGGCTTTTGACAGGGCAGTTCTAGGTCACCAAAGCTTGATAGCCAAACCGTTTGCTGAAGCCCCTGGTATGAAAGAGTCACGCTAAGTGAGAGATTTCCAATGTGGAAAACGTTTGTTCGTCCAGAGTCTCCGGTTTCTTTTATGGACTTTCAGCCAGGGGCATTTTCAGGATGACGACGTATTCTGCAGGTGCTCGCTGTGACATCCGCCTCCCGTGCAAGGAGGAGGCTGCTGCCTGTTATCTGTCAGCTCGCCTGTTATACTGCTTAGCCTTACTTCTTGGCACTGTGCATAGAGAGAAAAAAAAAGAAAGAAAACAAGAGTATCTATAAAGTATGGAAAATGTAGAAGCCCCTGACAGTTGTATGGTGTGTCTTGCTTCTCCCACAGAGAGGAAACCACAAAATAGTGAGTCCAGGGGTTTCTTTCCCCATACACAATATCTGTCAGGATTTTGAGGAATTTTCTGGGAACTGATGAAAGAAATGTGCTCTTTAAACCCTGATATATACTGTACAACTGTTCTGTACGAGGGAGTTGCAGTGCTCCACACTGGCAGGTTCCAAAAAGCTTTCCAAAATAGAAGAAACCCAAAGGATTTCAGGGAATTTCTTCCAGGAGGGCAGATTGGCTTCTATTGGAATATAGGCAGAGAGAGCAAAGGGGAAAATTTGCTTGTGTTAAAGAGAAAAGGTACCTGATATGTTTAATAGCTGTAGTTTCCTGGCTTATCTTTTCACACCTTTGCAGGATCACCAGTGCTGGTGGGAAGTGTGTAGGAATTTTAGCAGCAAAGGGGCTCTTGCCTCCCCAGATTCAACTTTCTCAGTCCCCACGGGTGGGAGGGGAGTCACACAAGTAACAATTCCCGCACTTATGTGTGCTGAAGGACCAAAACTGTGTGTAACAGTGTCAAGAGCCTGACTTGCCTGGCCTTCCTGACACAGGGCTGTCAGAAGCTGCCCTGCACTCAGTGATTATTACCGGCTGCTGACTGCGGAGATATCTTAATTAACAAGCAGAGAGTTGGTGAAAGTGCCTCAGCAAATGGGAGCAGCCTCAGGATCAACCCCAAAAGATGGTGCAATGTTTTTATCTCTTCCTTCTGGTTAGCGTTTATTGCATTAAAATAATTAATTACTGTTAATTGTTTTCCTCTCTTTCAGGTCCGCCTGTAAGTACCAAACCTCTATGCTTTAGAAGCTGTTGAGACAGAGTTTGTGGGGCACAAACTGTCACAGTCTCCCATCTGTGGTGTCTGGTGTGGTAGCCAACTTCGCAGTCCTGGCACCCTGGGATCTCCCAAACAGCAAGTACTGTGGGTTGTCAGGACCTGCACTGGGGTGGGATTGCTCTTGCCTGCGACTCAGCCTGTGAGGGGGAGATGGAGGGAGCCAGGGATGGGGACACAGCAAAACCACGTGGTGCAGGTGTCTGTGTGTTACCAGTTGGCCACACATACCCCGGGGGAACCGGCTGCATGTGCTTCATGTGCCCTGGGTGCCACACACTGAACAAGCCGTGTGTGCAAAAAAGAGAAAGATGGATCACAAACACATGGCAGGAGCTGAGCTGGAGGGAGTTGTTCCCTGCTACTTCACCCAGGGCTGGCTGAACTGCTGGGCTCTCAAGTATAGCTGCACAGCTATCAATTTCCAAGGAAAAATTGTGTTGACAGCTTCCTTTTCAAATGTTAGCTAATGTAAAACCTCAGTGCAGATGATTTAGGCTTCAGGAAAATAGCTAGGTTATTGCAGAAATTTTCTTGCAGCTATTAAGAGACCCACAGTGAACCAGCAGCAGCAATGCAAGGACTGAGGCTGTGTATCTCTCAGGATTATAAAGAAACACTATATTGTCTCTAGCACAGTCCTTCCAGGGGAAATGGTTTATATTCGTGTACAATAGAGTGACTATAGTGGGTTTCTGTGGAGGAACATGAGAAGTTAAACATACGGTAGTCATCTTTTGTCTGTTCATGCAAAAATGTCTTAAACAGTTTGCAGATGACGTGCTGAGCAGAAGTAGTTGCTGTGCACAACCTATTTTCTTTCCCATTTCGTCAAGCTGAAACGCTATAGACTGAACTCCCCCAGATATACGAGCACAGACCTATTTAATTACAACAATCTTCCAAAAAGTTGCACCTTCTAGGCCAAAAGGTCTGAGAGTGTTTCACAGCTGGAAGCCCCGATCCACACAAACCTTCAGCGATAGTTTATCCCAGGAGCTTTCAGGATGGGCACTGAAGTGGATGTATTTCAGCATTAGCTGTGGGTTTTGGAGAAGAAAGCACTGCTTTGGAGAGGGCTGCAAGTGGAGTCCATCCTCCTACTCCAACCTGGGCAACCATGGCATTAAAGAGACAGGTTGGGCACAAAATTGGTAGTGGTGTTGGTATGTCTGTTTATTGCCGTGAGAAGTGAGAGAGAAACAGCTCAGCACAGACATCTCCTAAAGAGCAGTCAGTGCCTTTGTGGGGTGAGGAAGACGCACACTCCAGGCTTCCTCTGCAGCACTAAGGGTTAGAAACCTAATATTGTAATGAGAGACTGAAGCCTGGCAGAAGCACACGAGACCACCAGAGAAGTGCTGACATTATTTGCTACTGTATCCTGGCTTATTGCGACCCCTGAACCTGTCTCCGCACACAGACTTCCAGGACAGGCCGTGAGGAGCGCTGCAGCCAATGACAATAATAAGAGGAAGTCAGGAAGTCAGGCAGACTGAGCGTCGTTAGCCAAGGTGGAATTTGTCCTGGGTTAGCAAGCACCCTCGTCTCATTCAGGACATCTTGGGTTTCTGATGGCTGGCGAGCGAGACCACTGTGAGCAAAAGTTCACCTCTGAAGAGCCAGATAGAATCTTCCATGTCACCATGGGAAATGTTTGCTCCCCTCATATTTCTCGTGATTAAAATGGCAATGGTCTTATGAGCAAACAGACCTGGGCTCCTGTCTGGCTGATTGCCATACACATTTTTCTGGAAAGCAGCCCCAAAGTGCTCACCACCCCAACATCTCTCTCCTGTTTTTGTTTCCCAGCTTGCAAAACACAACGTGCAGTATGGCAGGGGCTTAGCTCCCAGTGCTGGTGTTGGCTTGAGTGTGGAGGTGGGCAGAAATACTTGCTAGAATTGCACTGAGCCCTGCTTGTAGTCTAGAACAAGGAGGAGAAAAGCCGGAGAAGTGGATGGGCAACACCACAGCAGCAAAATGGCTCTCCACGCTCTCCTCTTGCCCAACCGATGCTCCCACCCTTATTTTTGAAGTCAGTTGAGGCTTTGGTGAAGGCAAGGGCAGCCCGCAGTCATGTTAGATATTTGGTGAGATTGGGACTAAAAGGGGCAAAGGAAGGAAGGAAATGATGAAATCGTGCAATAGTCCAGAGGTTTCCAGACTCTTGCGCCGTCTGGACCACATCCGAAGCAAAAGATCCTCTCACGGACATTTTCTCTCCCATTTCTGATCATGCAACATTTCTGTGGCAACTGTAGCAATTCCATACATGAAAAAATAATATTTAGCAGATGGAAAGTAAGGAAGAAAGTCAAAGCCCTGTAATTAGCTTGTTCTCCATGGAGTTGCAGATACCTTCAGAGCCCGTGCAGAGAGCCGTGGGCAGAGCCATGCCAAAAGGAGAGAAAACTTCACAAGCAGGAGATTAGGAAACTGAAGCAATCAGAGCTGATGATCAAGGAGCTGTGGAGAGTTTTTTAACCATTCTGTTTCCTAAACCCATCCACGTGATTTCATCTCTTTATCAAGCCCTCCCTTCAGTTTGAAGGTAGCTTTTGCTGTTTCTGTGTATTTTGTCCCAAGGCCTCACAGAAAGGCTGGGCTTCCAGTAAATACTTCATTCTTTCTGCTTCATCCCCTCCTTCTCTCTGTCTGGCAGTACTTTGATCAGGAGGCCTCCAGCGTTCGTAAGCTTGGGAGAAGGAAGTCTGGCATAGAAAATGTGCTGTGGAACAGAGTATTGCAAACAGGACATGGCTCATACAGATGAGGGACTGCAGGAGCTGTGTAGGACCAAACTTGAGGGTAGCATAATCCCCATGAGCCCTCCTGTATGTGTGGGAAACGCTGCTTTTGAAGATGCCTTTGTCAGCTTGAGAGTCTGAGATCGAAGAGGCACAGTGTGCAGTATTCTTGCTGATGGGACTTGCTAGTGGCAGCAGGATTTAGAAGGCCTAAGTCACTCTGGGACACATGCAAAAGTCTGTAATAACAGTATCTGCATCTGAGTTAGTCATGAGTTAGTCAAGGAGTGTGGGTTTTGGAGTTAGAACTGCATGCTTTCCTGGTGATGGCTCCCCGCTCCCCAGGCTGCTGCTCACCTGGAGACTGCACGAGTTGCAACAGGCAGTTTCCTAATGAAGGAAATGCAAACTGTGCTGCTGACTCTCCCCTGACTCAGGACAGAGGCTGCTTGTTGCCTTTCGTGCTCCCGAGCTCCGCTGTGGGAGCTTCAGGCGGCTTTGCATGACTTCCTAACCAACCTACATGGTATCATCCACCCGTGAGCGCTCTTTCCTGGCTCCCTGTCACAGACAACCTTTCCTTATAAACATCTGGCATTTATTTGCTGTGCTGCTGGGAGCTCCCCTTTGCTGTTATTGCTCGAAGGGCTGTAACGCTGTGCAGTCACATACCAGACACGGTGCCGTCATGTACCACTCCGACACCAGGTACTCACGGGAGACCTGACACGGCTCAGCCCCGACCTTGGGCTCTTCCTGCTCAGGCACCAGCCACAGCAGAGCCAAGAGAAATGAACTCAGCTTTTACCTCAAACCATGAGGGAGATCAGCCTGGGCTCAGCTCTGGAGGAAAGCAGCATTTAAGGGACTAAAAGCAGAGGAAGGCTCAGCGTTATGTTTTCCAGCAGCCACAAAGGAATCCCAGGGCAAGATGCTGACACCAGGAGTTTTGTTCACTGCCGGCACACAGAGATAGGCAAACATTAGCAGGACTGAGAACCCGCCTGAAACCCTGGAAGAAAGCAGTTTCCCATAATATATCATGGACAAAATTTAAAATCAAGCAGCTGTTTAGCGTTTGATCCATCTGCAAGGGATGCTTTTGCAAAGCATATATTGCTCTTCCATTTATCAAAACATGGGCTGCATGGAAAGGAACGCTCCCCGCACCGAACAGCCCCACAGAGGGAAGTGGCTAAACTTCCACCAAGGAATGGTTTGATCCCAGGCAGTAATGTCGGAGTTTGGGTTGTACAGCCAAAAGAGCCTTTGTGTACACCCGGAAAAACAAATAGAGTGAAGTGCCTTCCCTTTCCAGAGATTTCAGACTACGTTCACACGCGCTGGGGCTGAACGTGGGGGAAGGCACGAAGAGGTGGCACTGATGGGGCCCGTGTCTCCAGCTGCAGAAACCAGAAAACCAGGTTTGTGTCTGCAGACACAGTCAGCCATGGGCAAGAAAACTCTGTTTTACATAAGGAAACCCCAAACATTGCTGGAAACAGAACTGAGAGATTATTATCATGTCATTTTTGCAAAATACAGAGCAAAAGCTACATGACTGCTTAAGCCATAATCATCAAGGTCCTTTAGCAATGAGCTGCTGTCTTACAGATCTGCACAGCCTTCAGTTTTGGTGACCAGGAATGCAGAGGGGGGTGGTTGTTTTTTTTTTAATTGCATAGTTAAATTTCACTGCAAGAGGCAGCAAACTGCCTTGTAGGTAAGTGGCAGAAGAAAATTGCCACTGGTCCTGTGCTCATGTGTTTACAAGGCTTTGTCCAGTGTCTCCTGACCCACAGTCATTCCCAAAACCACTGTTGGGATCGCTCACACCCTGACAATGTGCTGGGAAGTAACTCAAAGGGGTAGAGGACACTGAACACAGCTGCTCGTATGTCTTCTTCCAGACATGCTTTTTCCTGTGTCAGCTCGTGTTCTCACATTTTTCTGTTGCTTCTGGACAGGACTGTATTTTCAAGTCTAAGAGAGTTGTGTTTCAGAGTGATAACTCTATAAATAAGTAGCTAACACCCAGCTGACTCTGGTCAAGAAAGAGAAAAACGTGACAGTTGGCTACTGCAGGAAGCCAGTTCCCAGGACCTGGATTTTACGAAGTGTTGGAAATTGAGAGTACACTTAGTTTTGACTGGAGGTTCTTGTCCTTCTTTTGCTGCCTAAATTGCAGTGTGCGATTTCTGTCGTGAGATTTGCTGGTTTGTCATATATGCACACGAACTGGTGGCTCACCCATGTTCTTAAAGACAGGTTTGGGCACACGCAAATGCACTTTCCTCCCTTTTTAGCTTTCTTTCTCCCCCTCAAAATCCCTGGACACTTGTACCACAGCACAAAGCTGCTGCTGTGGCACACTTTATTTGTGCTGTTTTATAACCTTGCTTTTGGTCAGTTACCAATTGCCTCTGATTTTGCCTTAATTGCCAGGGAGACAAAGGTGCGATGGGGATCCCTGGGCGGCCGGTAAGTCAGAACCTCTTGTGTGTGCTTTATCCTCCCCATTCTCTTCCAACCCCCAGGATTTGGAGAGGGGAGCTTTCAGGATGGTCCTTGGCAGGTGTCAGTGTGAGCAAATCTACTCTCCCTGAGCCTCACCCCTGAGGGGCTCCCCTTGTTGCAGCAGGGTGGCAAGCCCTGCAAGCCACGTACGTGCCAGGAGGGGTGTTTCCATTCCCTCTGCTGTGCTATCCAGGCCCTCCTCTGGTTCAGCATCCCCTTGGTTGGGTGCCTCCTGCTCCACCTCATGCGCTGGTCGGGCTTGCTAACTGTGGGCTTGCTAACACGCACCCCTGCCTGCCACCGGCAGCTGCCCTTTCCAGATAACTCTGCCCTGAGCAAAGGGGACCACCCCCTGCCTGGCTTGGGGCTGTATTTTGGAGCTGCTCCTTGCTCGGGCATCCCATAGTGAGGATGGGGATGAGGGCTGGGGCAGGAGCTGAGGCCACCCTGCTCATCCCCACCCCATAGGCAGGGTTTTGGGCTGGGAGAGCGTGCTCCTGCCGCTGACGCCTGTGTTTGTCTCTCTCTCTCTCTCTCTCTCTCTCTCCCCTGCACCCTCTTGCATGTGGCTGCGGTGGGTGCCACTGACCCAGGGACTAAAAGGGCAATCTGGAGAAAAGGTGAGTCAGCTCCTCATAGCCTGTAGCACCCCCAAACTCTAGGGCCAGCCCAAGCTCCCTGGTGGCAGTCATGGCCACTGCAGCCAGATGTGGGCTTCCACACCCCCAGGCTGCCCCATCTTCCGTGTCAGTGCAAGTATATTTCCCAAATTCCTTCCAGGCTACTCAGCCTCTGAAGACGCTGTGTTTCTTGTTTATGACAATTTACTAACAGCATAAGGGCCAGTGGGCACAACGCAGGGCTTCCCGCCAGGCTTCCTGGGTTTTAACCATTGACTTTCTTCCCCACTGGCAGCTCTGCTTGACCTAATCGACCTGCAGCTCCCCTCCACCTCCCAGGTTAGCCTGATCCCTGGTGCAAGCAGGAGCAAGGAAGAAAATGGCACAGCATGCTCCTATTTCTGACACAGTGGGACACCATCTCACAGACTGCTTGCCGTGCAGTGAGTTGGTGTTTTGTACTCACAAAGCACCCTACTGCTGGCCCCTGTTTTGACATGTCTTTTCCCCAAAGTGTCTTTTCCCCAGAGCTGTGAGTACCTCCCACCCATGAGAACGGGAAATGGAGGTGTTTGGGGTGCGTGAATAACTGAGTAACAATGTGTAGGAATTAGGAAAGGGATGAACATTCACCTGACAGGGGTATCACCTGTGCGCCACCTTACCAGGCGTGTTTGCTCCTCTTCATAGTAGATAGAGAGAAAAATACAGCAAGGAAGGGTAAGGTAGGACAGAGATTCTCCTTCCTTGCTTTCACTGCTTGCTCATTGGAGCCAACCAACATTATCCAACAGACCAAGATTTCCCCACCTGAAGCCATCCTGCTTTTTCTCTGCATGTCCTTGCATTTCTCTCTGGCCAAAGTTTTCAACATGAAGGGACAGCAAATAGATACAAACAAACAATGGAAAAAATCCATTGTCCCTGCTTCCCCAAAGCCCTCTGTGAGAGCCCTAGGTCCTTGGCAGGCCACAGCTTTGTTTTGCAGAGAGCTGTGCTTGCTTGCAGGCTGCTTGGTTTATGGGATGCTCCATCCCAAAGATCCCCAGCCCTGGGCACTTCTGGAGCTGCCTCTCAGGAATACACTGTGTTTTCCAGAGAGAGGGACATGTCCTGCCCATCGCACGCCGTGGGTGGCAAGGAGCTGGAGAGGCAGCTGTTTTCTTTTCGAGCGAGCACTCTGCTCTGTTTTCATCCACATCTCAGCTTAGTTTGAGAAGTACACAAGCTGCCCACAGCTCCCATTTCCCTGTTCCCTGGAGCCCAGCACATCCCTCCTTCTTTTCTTTCTTCTGTGGGACACAGTCCTCCTGGACTCGCAGGAAGAAAACAGCAAGGGTTTCAGGCCATCTTTCACACTTGCAGTGGGGCAGAACCTCTGTTTTACCAGAAAGTGTTTTATGTGTTTATAATTCTCCTTGCTGTGCAGCTTCCATTTTCTGCCACGTCTGAGCAGCTCCAAATGACATCTTTTTTCTCCTGAAGTGTGAGGCAAGAGCCGGGGGGAGGCCAGAATGGCAGCTGCCCCATAAGCCCTGAAGGTCTCACACCTGAAGCACCCTCATTTAACCCCCGGTCTTGACAGGAGTATCATTGTCTTTGTATTTTCCTTTCCTCCCTTGCTCACCCCTCTTCCTCTCCCTCGTGTCTCTGCAGGGTGCTCCAGGAGAAGCCGGCATGTCTATCATCGGGCCCCGCGGTCCGCCCGTAAGTGGCTTTTCTCTCTATTTTTGGCTGATGCAGGATGTGGGTAAGTTACTGGGAAAGACTGAGGAGGGGCACTAAGACACAGAATCAGCTGGAAGGAGCAAAAACCCTGTATAATGTGGTTCCCATACTGAGCCAGCCTTGGTTTTATACTGCTATTATATACTATATATAATGAAATTACAGCTCACTCTCCAGAACAAATGAGGAAGCCTTCCCTTGCAAGGAAACCATATTCCTGCATTTAAAAAGAAGAAGCATCCTTTCTCCTTGCAACAGGGCTGCTACCACTTTTGCAGAAAATACGCCCTTTGCCTGGCTGTGATCTCAGCCTTGGTTTCTTCAGCAGGGGACAAACCCCCTGATTTTGATGAAGGAGCAGGATCAGAGTGGTGAACTCACAAAGACAGGTAGTTTGGAGGTCTTGTCGAGGACCCAGACTCTTGGAAACTCTTTGTCAGCACTTTTACCGCTACCTGGACAGTCCCTTAGCTGTCTAGGGTGATGAGGAAAGTGCAGGCAGGATTATGCATCCTGTTTGGCAAAAGCGTCCCTGCAAGGTGCAAGGAGTCAGCCAGACAAAGCTTTTTGCAAGGATAAGGTCATAAAAAAAGACCAAGATGAAGGGTTGGAGTGTTTACATGCCCTAAACACTGGATGTTTCTTACACTGTGGTTCAGCCGTCAAGCCTCTGCTTTTGTGAGGGTGCAGCCAGTCCTCTCCACTCCATCCCTGCACAGCCTCCACCAGAGATTTCCATGAAAAAAGACCTGGAGATTCAATTCTCTCCCTCCCAGTGGGCACTTCCGATTTTGATTAACCTGTGAAGAGCACCGTCCTTGACCTGCAGAGAGGATGGGCTGCTGGAGCCTTTGTTTCACAGCGGAGGTCAAGTGAGAGGGACCTAGGCAGTGAGAACACTTGGCTACATCTGGCTTTCCAATTAACTTTCCAAAAGCCCCATGGCAAGTGTTTCTAACAACAAACAGCTTTGCCGGGTCCCAGACCCACCTGCCTGGGATGCTGGAGTTTGAGAAGTGACAGAACCAAAACCCAGGACCCAAACAATATGCCCAGCAGATGGTCCCTGGCCATGTGTCCAGGCAAGGAGGAACAGCTGGCAGGTCTCTCAATGCCAAGATCTGAGCAAGACCACCCTGCTCCACAAACAGCAGATTTTGGAGGGTAAGTGCCCTGGGGATTTTGCTGTTTCTCCCAAGCCTGTGGCTCTCAGCCTTTTGGACGGTGTAGATACAGTGATCGGAGAGAAAAGCCATCAGTCCCTGTCCATGTAGGCCCTGCAGAGAGAGACAGGATCACTGTTTTCTTGAAGGACACATGCCTGGTTTGCAGGACAGTTTTAAATGTCTGCTTTGGTGCTGCTGCCTTTGCTGTGGTTTGGGAAAGTGCAGAACATGTTGCATCTTCAAAGCAGCAGAAAATTTAGATGGCAAATGGTATCTAAAATGGGGTTTCGCCTACACCAGTCAAAGGCCTGATGTGCCAGGACTGGCACGATTCCACACTTTTCCCTCTGCAAAGCCTACTGTGAAGATGATCCAGTTTCCTGGGGAGCTGGTGATAGGTCAAAAGGATGGCTGAGCACTGAAGACAAACACGGAAACCCTGGCCAAGGGGCCACTCGGAAAGACGTGGGATGACAAATAGTTTCCAGATTTTTGTTTGGAGGTTGAAGTTTTCACTCGAGCTCAGAGCTGCTTAACTTCTGGCCAGAGAGGGACAGTGCGCCGATAGTGGCAGAAACAGACGGTCTCCATGATTTGGCAGCTCCCAGGATTACATTCTTCATACAATCAACATTTTAAAAAGAAGACAAGGAAAAGCAACCACCCAAGAAAAACAGTCTCTTGGAATCACTCACTGCTGAACTGTTGTCTTGGCGTGATACCGTGCAAATCACTCCGCTGTCCTCCAGAGAAAGAGGCAACAGTCTGTAGTCTACAGAGGAAGCCAAATTGCACCATTTCCAGGTTTTTCTCCCTAATTCTTTTTTTAGCACTTCTTGTCCGGGGAGGTGTCCAACAGGGAACCAAAATTAATGAATTGTGGCTAGGCTCTTCTTATTTCTTGCCTTTTCGGAAGCCAGCGGTGGACAGATCCTCTAATTTATAGCCTATCTTCCCTCCTGGTCACTGGCCAACAGGACCAGGTGGTTTTGTATGTATCTTGCAAAGCAAAGCTGACCAAGTTCAACTCTGCAGAACTAAAAAAACCAGCGCAAATGTGATTAGGTCCTGCTAGCATTGTGTACAAAACCAGAACTGCCAGTGCAGCATGAGGCATTTTGTGGTACAGGCACATCCCTCAAACCCTGCAAAAGGACGGTTTGGCCCCATCCTCTGCAGGGTTAAACCTTCACCAAGTCTCTCTGCAGACAGAGGGAGGAGATGTAACCTGAAGGTGAAGCTTTTCCCTGCCAGTGTAGCTCTGAGGTCTCTCCCAAAGGATTTTTATTGCTTCACTGTGGCAAACCTCAGTCTCACAGCCCAGCAGGCCCCATCCCCTCTTTCCCCTTCCCTTCCCTCAGCACCACATGGGATCACTCTGGTTAAGGCAGAGTTGCACCCTTGTTTATAGCTCTTTCCAGGGAAACCCTTGTGGGACTCAAACAGTCCAGTCATGGTGTCTCAAATTGCTGAAGAAAGCATTTCCTTCCCCAGAATGGGAGAGCACATAAGGAACCTGGGCTTTTTGGCATTGTAGCATAGCTTTCAGGGTAGGCAAGATGCCACAGTGGTCACTTGATGAGCGTGGTACAGGATTTACCTCATCCTGCTGCTTCCATCTACATGAGTGTGCTTCAAAATCTGCTGAAGTCTGGACCATATGGACCATATGTTTCCTGACTTGGCTCACACATTTTTAATTTTTTTTTTTAAATTGAGATAAAAATAGCCCTAAGTGAAGTGGTATCTTTACTGGATACCCACAAATCTATGGTCACCGTGACCTGTCACAGGCCCCAAAAACTGAAGAACTGGGAAAAATTAACAGCCAGGACATTTTTTTTTAAATTTTTTTTTTTTTTGGTGTTTTTAAGTGGGTGATGAAGAAGCTGCCAAACACATCCCCAGCCAGTGTTTACTGTACCTGATCCCAAACTGGTAGCCAGTTCTGGCTAGCTAGCAAGAGGTGGGGAAAAGACTTGGTGCTCATGTTCCTCTCATCACACTGCCTAACTCTCCTTTCTCTCTTAGCTTTCAGAGGACAAAAAAACCCAAACAGAAAAGAAAAAAAAAATCATCTCTTCTCCAGAATTATTTGTGAGGAAAATGAATGTGCTGGGACTTGAGATTAGGGGAGGAGGCGAAGGGGGATGGCTGTATTTAGACACCAGTGATCTGTGAGGCTTGTCTTGCACAGAGCAGCACCCTGCATTAAACGCCTCCAGTTTATGGCAGCAAGAATTGCCATAAAATGAGCTCAGCCTCTGGAATATACTCCAAAAGCCTAGCATATGGGCTAGGGACACCCGTTTAATTAATGTAAAAACTTCAAGGAAGCTGCTTGCAGTCCAAACCGGAGCTGCTCCAGCATTTTCTTGGCCCTGTACAAATTGGAGTGGCGATGCGAGATTTCCCTTCCTTCCCAAGACACTTTCCCCTTGGAGGAGAATTAGGTACCTCTTCAGAGAGCCCTAGGATAATTGGTCAGAGGTTGGAGGAAAGGCTCTGTAGAGAGGACTTAGAGTCTATCAAAATTCATTTCAATTCCTCTAAACTGCTGTCTCTGTTTCATCCTTCCCAGGGACAGCCTGGAACAAGAGGTTTTCCTGGATTCCCGGTAAGTGTAACTGTTAATTTATGAGGTATGGGTGTGTGATGTTACTGGGAAGCCTCATTAGTGCTTGCTGTATCTCATCATTTCTTCCTGAAACCAATGACCTGATCTGATATCGCTGGAAAAAGTAATCTTTTCTTCATTTGTTTTTCTTTTTTTTTTTTTTTTCCTTTTAAGTGATACTTAGGGGAAAAAAACCCCAAACCACACAACTCCAAAAGGAAATTAATTTAAAAAAAAAAAACCCAAGTGTTAAAATGATATAGGTGAAGCCAGATCTGTTGAGTAAAAGAAAGCCATCCTAGGAACTACCCCCAAACAAAGAAAATAACCCCTAGGTAGATGAAATTCCAACCTTAATTGAGCTTTTAGGTGATATTCCAATAGCAGGAAGTGCCTGGGATCCAAAGGGGGCCCTGCATGGTGAGGGTCAGCTGGGGACCGTGCTGGGCTGAACACCCTGGTCATGCCAAAGGGAGAGGACATAAAACATGAGAGGGAATTCTTCTGAAACACTGTTGCAGATGGGCAAGAGAACAGAGAACCAGCCCAGGAGAGGACAAAGCAAATTTCATTTCAATCCTACAGCTGCTGGCAGCATTCTCTGAAGCGCTGAGGCTGCTGGAGAACTCAAAAGGTTGCTATTTATTCGTATGCATTTATCCTGGACAACTAGGAAGCCTAAAGCAAAGACAAACACCCCCCACATCCCTGCTCCCGCCAGGCAGCTCAGCTGCTGCTCCAGGACACTGGATGTGCCAGAGCAGGTCTGCGGGGGTGACTCTCACGCCTGGAAAATGGGAGGAACTGGCAGCCTCTGAGCTGTCTGACCGGGCTCCACGGCTCTGCCCCGTGCAGAAAGGGGGGCTGTGCTGTGAGCTGCCCCGGGGCTGAGGAGAAGCAGATCTCTCCAGGCCGTTGTGGTCTTTGGCTTTTGGAGGAGCAGAAAACAAATCAGCCCAGCTCATGAGAAAGTGCCGGGTGGGACGGCACTCTGTGGAGCCTGTTTTTCGTCAAACAGTACCTTCAGCATGTGCTGAGCTGCGTGTTACCTCTTCCCTGGGACACTTTTATTATTCTATCACTTGCAAAAGTGCCTCTTCCCCCAAAGGTGTATGACTTTGAAGGTAAAATCTTGAGAAAACTGCTGATTTTCAGCTAGTTTAGTGGACACTGTAGAATTTTAAATTCTGAGGGCTTTTTTGCAAATTGCCTATGAATCCCTCCTCTCTTCCCTTCTTGTGTCCAGCATTGCTGCTGAAATGGGCTGACAGTGAGCAGGTCCCTGCGGGAGCAATCCAGAATCTGGGCTGGTACTCAGCAGGCCAGGGACCTGCTAGGAGGACAGGGAGAGTCACCTCACCTCATCCCAGTTCGTGCAGTCTCATGGCACATGGTGCTTCCTGGGGCAGATGGACAGACACCCTGGGGAAAGCATTTCTCATCATTTTTGCTTTTTTATTTCAGGGCCCTATTGGCTTGGACGGCAAACCGGTAAGCAAACAACTCTGCAGCCTTCCTGTCCTGCCTCCTGCTAGGTCCCACTGTCCTGCCAGCCTGTGTCTTACACAGTATGTTTTTAAGGGGATTATTTTGCAAAGTCACGCACACGCATGGATTAAAAGAAAATTAGGAGGTTGGCAGGCAGGAGGATACCACAGATGCCTTGGGGGGAGATATAGGAGATACAGGAGAACTAGGGAAGGCAGAGTGTGGCCTCTTCCTTTCTAGGGAAATCTATAAAATAGCATGTCACAAGTGCAGCAGCCTGGCTGCTGCAAGGAAAGCCTTAGCAGGCACTCCCACCCCAAATCAGACAGGCAGAGCAGGTCCCCGAGGCACCAGCCCTCTGCCTTAGCCATCTGCTTCCTTTGAAGTTGACCCTACAGCTTCTTTCTCTTTGCTGCTGTGCTGAAAAGAGCTGCAGAAGTGGGAAGGACCCTAAAGATCTCCATGAGACCTCCATGCTGTCCTTAGAGCCTCCTCACAATCAGCTTTGTAGTAGAAAGGCTGAAGTTCTTCCCATCCTTTGGAGAGCCAGGCGCAAATACAGCCACTTCCCCATGAACCCAGAAGATATGAAACCCACAGCTCCACGTAGCAGCCACGCAGCCAGGTTCCACACCAGCTTCCTTTAGCCATGCTGCAATGGAAAAGGAGCTGGTAGCTCATACCTCTGGCATCTGACTTCCTGCAGCAGGATCCTGGTTTTGCCGTGAGGAACATGACTCCCAAGAGAGACCCAGCAGCCTCTCTCTGGTACTGCTCTGTGGGCACACACTGCACTCAGCAGAAGCTGCTCTGCCAGCACGAGGTGGGGCTTAACCGTGTCCCAGACATGCCCTGCAGAGTCTTTTCACCCTGTGTTCAGCCCCCAGAGCTTTGTTCTGAGCATTTTGGGGTAGCAGGCAGTGGTGTCCTCTTAGCTGTGTGAGCAAAGCTCGGCATTGCATCCCCCTTTGGAGGTACCTCCCGAGGTAAGGGGGAAGTGGGGGAAGTAAACATCTTCTAGTGACTGCAGTGGCCAAAGCTGATGCATGTTTTCTTTCTTCTGCAGGGTCATCCTGGACAGAAGGGAGAGACGGTAAAAATATACATGTTTGTCTACAGGTGATGGGTAGGTTTGAAATGATGCTGCCTCTCAGCTGGAAACAAGCTCGTAGGCAGGGTAGCAATCCGCTCAGCTGATGCACGAGCTGCGTCCCTAATTCTGTAACTTCATAATAGCAGTGCTGGGAATCACAGCTGTAATTTTTACATTATGGCTATCAGGCTCATCATGTCACAACAGCAACTCTCTAGTTACGCATGGGATGCGTTTTCCTTGCAGTTAGCAATTACGTTCTTTAAATATATTCTGGGAGCTGACATTTTTCAGGGTTGGCCTCATAGCAGAAGTAAAAGTTGATGGAAAGATTTCTCAGAACCCATCTGGCAGCTTTCAACTTATCTAACAGCAACCCAAAAAAGCATATTTTTTGTATTAAATGTGTTCCCCTCCCCCCTCCTTGAAGCTCTGTTTCATATGTGCATCATACTTAAAATGTATTTGGTTTGGTTGAAAATGATAAAACTTAGGCCGCACTTGATGGAAGCCCAAATGCGGTCTTGTTGCTCTTGACATCTCTGATGATGAAATCCCAAACACGAGTATGCCGAGCTAGCAGCTCTGTAGTCACCTTCGCTCACTGGAGTGCTGAATGTTTTCTTCTGCTAATTCTGTTTTTTGAGCCCGAGTGTCAGTACAACCCTCTGGCAAGCACATGTTGAAGATCCCCGCTCCCCACTCCCATTGTGCAATCCTAGCTCAGGCTTCAGTCCTGGCTGCTTCTGGTTCCATCGGCCGAGGAGCCGCGCTGTCAGCTGAGGTCCTGGGAACAATAAGGGTGTGTTTTCCTGATGATTTTCCCCCTCTCCTTTTAATAATTCCCCCCTGCAGGGCAGCCAGAACATGTGTGCGTTTTCACTCCTCCAGAGTAACAAAGGGAGCCCAGATCTCTCTTGGGAGTTCTCTCCACAATTGTTTTTAAAAGCTGAATTTTTCACCTACTCCATACACTGAGTGTTGTTGTCTTCTTGTCACTGTAAATGGGAAACCATCTCATGTTCACATATGTATTTCTTTAAAGGGTGCTACAGGTCCCAGGGGACAACCTGTAAGTATCCAAGTATCCCATCTCATCCTTATCCCATGTGTCCCCCTAATCCCTCTCCCTTGGCATTCACTGAAGTCATTAATTTACTGAGGCCTATTTTGTCACTTTTCTTTCATAGGGACCCCCAGGACAAAAAGGAGAAAAGGTAAGTAAGTTCAACAGGAGATGTGTTAAGAATTAAATGTAAAGAGGGGAAGGAACTCAGTGGACTTGGTGCTGCTCAGTCTGACTTTGAGTGGCTGAGGAGTACAGCAAGAGCAGAGGGCTCAGGGCATAGGGGACGGGAGGCAGGCTGCTTATTGGGTGCAAAGTGGTATGACTGCACTGAATTTGATACAGTCACAATGATTTACACCTTCTGGACCGGACCCCGTGTGCCTATTTCAGTCTGCTCTGTTTGTGGTTTAAACTCTTTCCTTTTAATCCTGTTCTTTCACAGGGTCAGTGTGCAGAGTACCCGCACAGGGTAAGTCATTAGTGTTATTATCCTCTGTCCCGTGCCTTCCTGCATGTTAATCCTCCCTCGTTTGAATGGCTTTTTGTTGGAAGTAGAGATCGTTTCATTAACGAGATGCGTCATCTGGGCCCCGAGGGCAGCGCTTGGCTGATTGATGTGTTTCGCAGAAAAGCAGCAGATAAGGTTTTCCAGGAGGGATGTTGGTTCTCCGGTCTGCTCCTGCCCACCGGGGCTGACCCCTAGATATCTGCTGTCATTGCTGCTTCCTGGAGATTTGTGCTGGAGAGGGGAAGGTCTGTGTCCTCACCGCAAAACCCAGCCAAACCTGAGGTTTCTGGAGGAGTAGGGGTCACCCCCATCTTGTGCTGCTGCACCAGCTTCGTGCTGCTTCCACAGCCTCTGTGGCAGTTGCGTGGCCATCAGGAGCAGTGTGGGGTTTGCAGACCTGGGAGAAACTCTATCATCATCCCTTCCTTTTTTCCCTCGTGCTGGTCTCATCCCTGCACAGGGGCAAGGGGAAGGGTTGTGCTCCCTGACCTTCCCTGACCAAACTCCTCTGGCTGGTCCCTGTGCCGGTCCCCAAGCCTGGTGGGCTTTCTGTCTGCAAGGCTGAGGCTGAGAGGGAGGGTTGATGCCAGCAACCCTTTAATGAAAGCCAGGATGTTGCCCCACTTGCCTCTTCATCCTGGCCTGACCGGCATGTGCCACAGCCAAGAGTGGAGAGAGTACATCATGGGGTTTGAGGGGATTTAACCAGTTCTAAAAACAACCAGAGTGCTGAAAATCCACTGGAGATGCATTGGAACGACATCATATGAAGTGGCTGGAATTTGTAATCTGGGTGTACAGGGAGACAGGCTTAAGAGCTTTCTGTTTATTTTTGACGGGCCTCTGGATAATTAACCGGGCTCTGGTCCCTGGCCCCGAGGGAGCAGGGCTGGGATGCTCGGAGCAGCAGAGCCAGTGGAGAGAGAGCTCGGCTGGCAGCAAGGGAGAAGGGAGCCCTGGGTATGTGCCAGTCCCCGTGCAATAACAGCCGGTCAGCTGTGTTTATTTAGGGAGCCGGCTCACTAGATTGTTATGGTAAAAAGAAGCTAACAGCAGTGATCACCGAGCAGCGTCCTGGGTCCTGTTACACACCTTGGCTCCCACCGTCCCCAGCGCTCAAGGTGAAAAGCAGTGGCAGACTCAAAGCAATGCTGGGAAGGGAGATGCAGCTGCTGCATCCCTGGAAGTAGCCTGGGCTCAGGCTTAGGGGCAAAGACACGCTGGTTCAGTGGGTCGGGGTTGTAGGGTAACATGCTGCAGGGCTGTGACAGCAGGAAAAGGGCGAGTGCAAAGCTTCACATCTTAGCAGTGTTTCCTTGGCTCTCATGGAGGTACTTTTGGTCTCATGAGGCAGCAAGTTCAACATTTTCAGAAGCCCATGAATTGTTCTAAGGCAGAGCCATGCTTATGGAAAGGGTGACTGTCCTCAGTTCAACTCAAGGATGGGCTGTGCTGAAGGCTCTGGTCACAGACTGTGCAAGCTCAGGGAGCCCAAAGCACAGACCAGCCGAGAGAGGTGCAGTTCTCTTTCTTCCTCGCTGAATGAAAATTAGGGTGTTGTAAAAATGCTACACGGCTGACTGAATTGCAGTTTACTCTTGCTTTTCTGTTCGACAAGGTTCTTTGTCAGTTTTTCTGGGTGAGGAAATGAAAACCAGCATTCTGAAAAACCAGGGATGTTGCTTCAGTTTCGTTTCATCTTTGTTTTTGTAGGAAGGAAATACAAGGTTAGGCTATATATGCCTTGCCTCTTGTTGTAGTTTCCTATTTTTTTCCTGTATAAGCCTGTGTGGCCTGCACTGCTGTGAGGGATGAGCCCAGACATTGGGGCTACACATTTGGGGTGAGCCAGCCATTCGAGCTACTCAAAGTGCTGCTTTGGGGAAGGGGGGACCAGCCGTGCTCCGTCTGCTCTCAGAAATGCTGTGTGTGTCTAACTGACCCCGTTTGTCTCACGTGTCTTCACTGTTCCCCAGGAATACCTAAGTACCACCCTTGCAGCCCTGCGCTCTAACCAGATCCTTACGCTGAAGGTTTGTGGGTAATGGTCTGATGTGACCCAATCCTGAAGCAAAGGCATGAGGATGTGGATCCAATATTGCACATTGCCTTCTGAAAAAACTTCCCAATGGGATACAGATGAGGCAGGGCAGGAGCTGGGTGGCAGAGCCTTCAGATTTCTTCTCTGAGCTCTCCCACTTGCACCTGAATCCATTGCTGGGTCATGTCTAGCCTCTGTTTTTTTCCTCCTTATCCTTTCCAGCATCTTCCTTCTGCTTCTCTGTAAGCTGCGTAATATTTCAGATAGCCCTCAGTGCTTGAGGAGCCAGTCAAAGCCAGCTCAGCTGGCTCTTCAGAGCTATGGGGCCTCCTGCACTGTGTTTTAGAAAGGGGAGAATTGCCTTTGGATAAAATCAGCCCAGCTGAGTTTCCAGCAGCACTGCTTCTGGAGCGATAGCTTGTGCCGTGTCTGGATCCGAGCATTTGAACCTGATCGCAATGCTGCAATATTGGGTTGCCACTTCTCTTTGCAACAGGACTGGATCCTTGCTTTCCCTGCACACACGAAGGACAGTGTCCAGCGGGAATAAAGTGCGCTGCTTGGGAGCGTACGGTGACTGTGGTGGGAGACCTGTGGGCACACCTCTGGGGTCTGAGCACAGCTCACATGGGGAGCGGCGCACACGGGCACGAGTTTGTGTCTGAGCACAGAAAGCCTCTCTCTCTTCTCCCTGTGTAAATCAAGAGCAGCTTCAATGGAAAACTGATAGCAACAGGAAAGTGGATCAGGCCAGAGGAGCATTCCTGGGCCTGGAGCCGGCACTGTGGGTGCCAGGCTGACAGCAGCGTGCGTGCAAGTGGAAACTGGATACAGCAGAAGGATGAACAAATGCTCCTGAGCTTTAGTGCATTTGATTTCTGTGTGTCCGGGTCAGCTTTGTGCCCTAAGGCAGCATTCCTGGCTATAAGCAGTCAGAGGGTGATGTTACTATTGAGCAAGGAAAAGCAAAGCACAGGCTACCGAGGCAATGTCCTGCTCAGGACTCTGGTTCCTAGGCCTGGTTTTCTCCCTTGGTCATGGTGGTTGTGTCTGCCCAGCTAAGTGAAGCACGCCAGGACCTGTTTGTTGACCTCAGCTAGCCTCTCTCCACTCCCACACACACAGGAAGGTGTGAGACCTGGAGATACACTGGGTTTCTTGTAATGGAACTAGGAAAACTGCCCTTGGAAAACTTGTAGAAAACTGTCATTTGGATAGTTGCCCCAAATCTGATGATGGGAAATTAAGAGAAACAGTCCCATCACTGGAGATCTTAGCAGGGCCAGTGGGGAGATGTCTTGCAATGAACACTGCCTAAGGACGTGAGTGGAGCTGAGTTAAAATCCCCCCCCGGGTAAGTTGTGTTTCTGAGCAGAGGAAGCTGTACAAGCTGCGTGCAGTGGGAGCATCAGGATGGTGAGTGGCCACCCTGCACCTGCCAGGCTGGCACTGCCAGTGCCCCCATGAGCGGTGTGGGGAGCTCAGAGGTCTGCCCGCAGGTCCCTGTGCTGTGCTCACGCCGGGCTTCATTTTCATGGCAATCTCTCTGTTCCCCTCTTCTCTGTTCTCTCCCCTGGCTACTCTCTGACTCTCGGTGCCCTAATGGCCTCCTTTGCCCTGTGACCTTCTGGTTTGATCTTCTTCAGCTGTTGCCTCTCCTCAATTCAGTGCGGCTGGCTCCACCTCCGGTCATAAAGAGACGCACTTTCCAGGTAGACTTCTCCTCCTCATTGCCTGTTTCTAAGCTTATCCTGACGCTTGCCATTAATCAGCTTGCTACCTGTCTTTCTTCCCCTACAGAGGGGTTTCCAGGAGTTTCAGGCAGAGTCGAGGGACTTTCTTTGAAGCGGAGGAAATCTTTGATGTGATAATGTTGCTAAAAAGAAATGCAGTGAAGCCAGTTTTTTAAACTGAAAGAAATGGGCCATGAAACTGTTCTTAGGGCTGTCGACAAGCAGCCTCCTCCCTAAAGGAGTCAGTTCCTGCATATTCAATCTCCAGGAGAGGTTAGAAACCTCTTGCTGAAATGCAGCTAATGTCTGTGAAATTTAACTGAGATGAATGAATAGGCAAACGCTTCTTCTAAGGACTAGTCTAGTCTGAGGCACTTGGGAAATGTGTTTAAATAAGCTCTTAGAATGGTTTCATTAAATTGCATTAAATCTTTGTGTAAACACATTTATTTTTGTTTCCAGGACCATAATTCATGTTTAGTTTATTTTGGGAATTAATTCATAGAGCGAATTATGGACATATGAACAGTGAATAAGAGTGGCCGTAGTCAGAGTTCATGTGGCTTTTAATGAGCCCACTTTAAGCTCCCTCATTCCATCAATTGGGATTAACTCTCCCGTGTGGACAAACCGCTGTAATTACCCCGTGAAGTGTCCTGGGCACTCTCTATTAAGTGGCTGGGTTTTGTCACCCTGCTGCCTGTCTAGACAGTTGGATGCTAGCAGGGAACGGCAGGATGCAATTAGAGACCTTTACCATGAGGTGCCTGGTCCTTGCCCAGCGCTGGACAAATCCTGACCCTACCACTTGAGCCTGTGCTTTCAGTTCGGTTTCTACCCATTCAGCATTTGCACCACACAGAGCCCCATGGCTTGCACTGTTTGCCCTTCAGAGTGACAGTCTGGAGAACCAGGCCAAGGACTGACCTCTTGGGAAGGCTTTGAAAGCTGAAGTTCCTCTCCAGGATGAAGTGGGAAACTTGAATAGCTGCCCTACGTCCTGTCGTCAGCCAGGGCTGCAAATTCCCTCTGTCCGCAGAGGCTTTAACTTCACCGGAGAGTTTTGCCATGATCTGTTTTGCTGTTGCTGTTTCATTCTCTTAAGTGCGAGAGTGTAATCTGCTCCTACAGGTCCGCCAGCACCAGGCAATTCCAGGAGCCCAGTGTATGAATACTAAGAAAAAAAGTGAGGCTGCAAAATGAATGTAGCGCCAGCACCTGGAAGAGAGGAAAATCCTACTGCTGCCTCTGAGCACATCAGCAGGAGTGCTCTGCCCGAGGGCTGGGGCTTAGCCGAGACAGGGGCTGAGCAGGGTCCTGTGTGAGGAGGCTGAGCAAGCATGGCAGTGCTGGGGTGCAGTCAGGGTGGCTGCCTGGTGTTTAAAAGAACTGAAAAATAGCTACAGTCAATGGCTAAAAATATAAAATGACAACTGACGAAAGTGACACCTGATCTCCCACTTACTGTATCCGCTTACTGTCTGGTTAGCTCTGTGGGGGTCCTTTTGTGCTGAACACATTAATAAGACTATAATGATGTGGTAATAACACTTTGTGTGTTTAGGGATCTGCGTGGACAGGGACTCTCCTCGACAAAACCCACTCTGTCCAAGACAACAAAGCGAGGGTGATGCGAATGGGAGTTTGAGTGAGCTCCTTTCAGCTGCTGCTCATGCTGGGGCAGAGCTCCTGCTCTTCCCAGCTCCCTGTCCCCTGCCAGCACCCCTTCCAAGCACTGTGCTCCATTTTAGTGCCCTAGATGTGGAGCATGGACTGGGCTGGCAGAGAGCAGCTGAGGTGGGAATAGAGGAGGGAGGGCCAAAGTGAGATGGGTAAAAAGCCCCCTTTGCCTTCCCTTGGTGCACCCATGCTGGGGGTACTGTAAGATGCAGTGGGAGAGAAGTCTCTGAAGTTGGGATGAGAGGCCAAGGCATGAGGAAATCTAGAAATATACTCCAGTGTCCTCCAAACATCTTAATTAGATCCAAATTACCATCCGCATTTAAAAGCTCTGAGACCATTTACATGACAGTTGAACAGCACTGAATGTGGAGGATAGGGAAGCTTAGGAAAGGTCCTGTGTTCCCTTGCATGCACCATAGGATATGCTTTAAAAATGGAGAAAAGCGAGGGTACCCCTCCTGCCTGGCCCAGCAGACTTCCCAGTGTGGGCTGTGGGTCCAGAGGAGCAGGAGCAGGCCTGTGGCTTTACACGTGATTGAGCGTCTCGTGAGTCTGGCCCACGTGTTGGAAATTTTCTTTTAAACAGAGCTCATGGAAGAAGGGATGAAAATTTGCAGCTTATTGCTTTCATCTATCATTCTAAATAAAGCAAACATCCCTGTATTTGCATGTTTTACTAAAGGCAGCCAGGATGAACAGCACACTTGGTAGGAACACACGGAGGGGACAGATTTCGTGCATCCTCCTGCAGTGTATAGGGCTGTAGAGAGGATAAATGCAGTGGAGACCCAACTGCACACCTATTGAGTTTTACTTGAAGAAACAGCCACGTTTGATTTCTGGCTTCCCATGGATCCACCAAGGAGAGTTTTTCTAATTTAAAGTGGATCACTAACAGTGATCACTGTCACGATATTTTACCCAGGGAGGGGAGCCTGTGAGACGAACAGCGCGGCGCGGGCGCCAGCGGTGCCTCAGGAGCTCCCTGGATTCATCAATTATGGATCAGCAGTCTGGTATTCAAACGTGGCGCTTCCAACCCACTGTCTCCTCAGTGCCGCTGGGTCCCACGTCCAGGTCCTCGGGGCCAGATGACATTGCTGAGGCATGAGCCACAACCCCCAAACGAAACGGCTACTGAGGGCCCGGGGAGGAACCGGCTCAAACGGCCCCGTGGCAGAGAGCTTAAAATGGCAGGTGGCTCAGCACACACTGCCTTGTTAAATCTTAGAAAAACAGGCTCTGCCTGGTGCACGTGGGCCTGCTTTGGGTGGGCTCCAGAAATGCCATGATGATCGTGTTATTTTTTTTTTTTTTGGGTTTGTGGCATTTCTACTTTTGGTCCTTAGCAAAACAGAGGGAGTGTTGTCCAACAAATATAGCATGGGGGAAAAAATAGGCTGAGGTAAGACACTGCGGGTTTGCCTGGAAGTGCCAGTGTGGTCACGGGAGGGTTTGCTTCACATGTGACTGTCAAGTGCTTTGGAAAGCCTCCTCGGAGGCTCAAGAGACATCGGTCTTTTGCATGAATATTGTACTTGACCGACTCAATGAAGAAAAAGGTCTCTTTGGACTGCTCTGTCATGTATAGATCCCTTTAGAACAGAGGCCTGACCAGGCAGCTTCAGATGTCTTTGCAAACCATAGGGTGCTGGCTCCTGCTGCCCAGGCAGCCCAGCCATCCTCAGCAGGGCTCTCCATCACTCTTGGAAACTTCTCCTGTTACTAACCTGCTACTTGCTTCTACCTCATCTGCTTCAGCCAGGCTGGTCTGCCTTGGGCCCTTGGGGTGGCAGTGTGAAGGGTTTGCTCTGCCAGCCGATAACCTCCTGTTTTACAAACCACAGGGTGAACAAGGACAAGCAGGGATCCAAGGTCCCCCAGGGCCCCCTGGACCACCAGGGCCTGCTGGACCGGCTGGACCTGAAGGAACCCCAGGACGTCCTGGGCCAGTTGGACCCCCTGTAAGTCCAATTACTGAAAAACTAATTCTTCTGCTTCCCCTTCCCCTGGGGCACAGGCAGTTTCCTCTGGCCTCTCTTGCCTCTGCTGAAGCTGAGATAGTCACGGACAGGAGACTTGCACAGGATGTGGATGTGTGGAGAGGATGAAGTTCCCAGGAAGGAGGGGAGCGGGAGGGAAGGCGGAGGTGTGCACTGGGCACTGCTGCTATCTGGGCACACAGTGGGTGACACCAGGCTCATTTCCTCCTCCTCAGACTCTGCAGAGGGCCCCGGAGAGGAAGTAACACGAGGGGTGTAATTGTTGTGCTCAGAGCAGAAACCTGACTGATAAGAATCCCTGCCACCCCTTTGAAGTCCTGTCCCTGTCCTAGCGAGCAGCCAAGGAGGGAGAGGAAAGAAGCACCGTTTATAAAGTAACACCGTTGCTAAATGGCAGGGGACAGGGCAGAAAATCCTGCTAATGTACCTCTCTCTTGTAACAGGGCAGAGCAGGAGAACCTGGGAAGCCTGGCAGAGACGGAAAGGTGGGTACCAGAAACCAGCTCCGTTCCTGGGAGCTGCAGGGGGACACGCGGCACGCTGGCTCTGTGGCCTCTGCGGAATGAAAGGAGTTTTCCATCTTAAAGAGTTTTTAAGGCCTGATAGCAGGACAAGCAGGTCTTTTCCCCAGAGGCAAAAGCACCTCTCCACTTGCAGTATTGGGGTCAGGGATCCTGTAAGCATCCTCATTTCTCTCTGAGCTCTGAGGAACCAAGGATAGGATGGCTGAACACTTGAATTACCATAAGCAGGCAACATCAAGGGTGGTATTAAGCATCAGAGCATATCTAGAGTAGTTTTCCCCTTCTGTCTGCTCACATGCAGCTCTGGCATGGATATTTTGTTTATTTATATTTACATACACACGTATCTGGTATGTTTCATGGTTCATATCAGGTAAATTGTTTGGTTATTTCTCATTTAAAGACACAAGTGGTTTGTTTGTTAATATATTCTCTCTATTTAGCTTGTCAGAGGAAGCTGCAAATGCCTGATTTACTCCAGAGCTGCACAGTGGGTACAAATTTCCCAAGCAAGCCAGAGAAGCAGAAAAGATTCTGGGGTGTAATGCATAAGGCAAAGCAGCTCTTTGGTCTTCAGATTCAGTTAGATCAAACCTGGGGGGATGGAGCACTACAGGCACGGATTTATTTGAGTATATGGGTTAAGACAGTATTCATCTACATGAAGAATAGAGTGGGGCTGTTTGAGCTCACCAGTGTAAATCATCTCTGTAAAGGGGTGTTTCAAACCAAAGCGTCTCCCATCACCCTGCAGTCCATGTAATGTCTACATTTGCCAACCCCAGTGTCTGATTTTATCCACAGGGCTTACCTGGGCCTCCTGGACCAAAGGTGAGACATCTCACTTCATTTAGAGGCGCAGCACGGTGTTAAACAGGGATGGATGCTCCTGGCGAGGACAGATGTGTACATTTTGATGGATGGAGGAGGGGAAAGGAGGTTACATCAAATAGCTGAGAAGCATTTCTGACCCGGCTCAGCACTGCCTTTGGGGCCCAGCCCGTGTGCTGATTCATGGGTTTTGTCCAGGCGACACGTCTGAGTTGCATCTTGACTGAGCCAGGCACGCCTCATCAGCCCCTCTTGCAAAATTGTTTGCCACACACAGCTTTATTGGCCTCTTCCATTCTCAAAGCATTTCCCAGCGCTTCAGGAATGGATTTTGCAATGCTATTGTTAACTCCGCCACGGGTTCCCATTTATTCACTTGCCAAAGTGCGAGGAGGGGGGTGGTTGTTGTTGTTTTTCAGCTGCAGCCACCCACCCTAATTTGTTTTTATCTGAGATATGTAGCCAGGATGAGGAGAGGGGAACCGTGGAGCTGGGGCACAGAGCTGGCACGTGTTATCCTGCTGCCAGGGCTTACTGTCCCTTTCCTGCCAGGACTCAGCCCAGGGCAAGTAACGGTGACCCGTGGGTCTGAAGGGTCAGAAGCTCAGTGGAGTTGCTCTGAGCAAAAGGAGAATTCTCCCCATGGAATGCCCTTCCATCCCAGCAGTAACCCAGGGAAAAAGGCAGAGATTTGTCCTTCTCAGGCCAAGCCTCACTTTCTTTTGTCTTCTTGCCTTTTGCAGGGAGAGGCTGGGATTCAGGGATACCCTGGCAGAAAGGTAAGAAGAGGGAAACCCAGTGCTGTTAAATGAATTAAGTGCACTGATGCCTTGTGGAATCATGGCTGCAAATCTCTGGACTACTCTGGAGCCCTCTGTGGAGCTCTGCTCCCCCTGGACGTGGGGCTCTGGCAGGCCCACAGATGATCTGCTGTCACCCACGTCAGGAAAGCCTGGGCCCAGAGGTGTCTTTAACTCTGCAGCAGCTACGGAACAGACTCCCCATGTGTGTGCCCCTCTCCACCCACTTCCAGGCTGAAATGCAGGTCTTGTTTATCCAGGCCTGAACAGGAGGCTGGAAAGGGCCAAATCCCTGGCTGTGTACTGCTCTCTGGAATACAGGAGAGAGTCCTCAACCTGCTCCAGGTTAAGAGGCAGAAGCTGGCAATGTCCGAATGCCTTCAGCAGCAGCTGATCAGCAGCAGGGTTGTCAACTCTGGAGGGTGTAATGAAGAGACAGAGAGACAGGGGAAAGACACAAAGGAAGATCAAAGGGGAGAGGGGGGATGAAGAGATGTCAGCTGGAGAAGGGGAAGGTGAATGTTCCCAGCAGGCAGGAGTCCTGTGTCCCCTGTTATCTCCACATTGCTTTATGGGTGCTCTGCGAGTAAAATGGCAAGACCTGAGAGCTTTTTAATTAGCTCTGTATAAACTGAGAAGTTTTTGTTATGTCAGGAAGTGGAAATTATAGCCCCTGCAGACCACAGCCCACTCCTGCAGACAGACACAATTTATTGCCCCTTCTCCCAGTGAACCGTTGGATTTTCCATTAGGAGCCCATCCTGTTCTGTGTGCGCTGGGCGGGCGGTCCCGACAGCGACCTCACAGCGAGGGCCTCTGCTACCAGCTCCTCTTACACAAAACCACTTGTCTGGCTAATTCACTTCCGAGCAAAGAGCCTGCAATGATCTTGGAGGAATGAGCCCAAGGTTGTGACCTTTCTCTGGGAAAAGGTGGAAGGAATAGATGAAAGTAGGGGAGCAAATCTTAAGGAAAAGGGAAAAGAGGGCAGAATGTAGAGGAAAATTGTTAACTCAGATAGGATACAGGATATGGGACCGCTCCCTTCCTGACATTTCACACACATCTTTTTTGCTGCAGAATGGTGCTCCTCTCCCAGAGAGACCCAGGTGGTAGGTTGATGTGGGGGAGGCACCTCAGTGTGGGACATCCCTCTCACATCTCTGCTGAGCTTCCTGCAACCCACAGCTCCTTTTCTTGCTGCTGTGTTTGCTCCTTCCTCCGTTTTCTTCTCTTCCTCAGGGTGAGGTGGGCGAGTCCGGCCTGCCCGGTGCCCGTGGCCTCCCTGGAGCCTCTGGCCCCAAGGTAACCCTTACACTTGAGTCAGTGGGGGCATCTCCCAAGGGCAGATAACTGGCCCACAGGCCTAGAGACACACTAAAGGATGTCAAAGGCTGGGGACTGGAGGCAGTTCTCTAGAGCCTGGAATGAGCCATGTAACCAGGAACACACTTGCTCCTGAGTGGGGAGCCTGGCCAATTGTTGGCCAAGGTGATTTCATGCTATCCTGAACATCATGCAGTACCTGCACAGGGCTTCATTATAGAGTGAAACTGAGCCAGCCTTTAGGGGCTTTTGCACCCAGGCTGAGGGAATGAGGGGATGGGCCATGAAACATTTTGATGGTTTCTACACCCAAATCTTGTGGAAAAGCATTAGTATGGGTGACCTCCAGCATGCACTCCAGGAACCAAAACTGCCTTGCATTCCCTGGGAGGGGTGGGCTGCAGCCAGTGCTCGGGCTGGTACCGTGTTGCTGTCAGGAGAACCAGAGGCCTGGAGTTGCATTATCACACCTCTCTTTTGGCTGCTTTCTCTCTGTCCCTCGCTGTTACGGTTGTACTGCTTGCTCAGTTTCTCTTTATGATGTTCACTGTCCCTCTCTCTCTGTTCCCCCCCAACTTTTCTCTCTCCTTTGCTGGGCAGGGTGAAAAAGGGGACGCTGGCATAAAGGTAGGCATGAGGAATATGTTTTTCTAAGGTGCGGTAGATCACCTGGGAGATGGATACTGCTCCTTGGGCTGATGGATTGCAAGGGGAAGTTGGGTCCGAGGCAGCTCTGTGGGGTATTTAATGGAGTGCACATCTGTGCTCTGATTAACCACAGACAGGCACTCCGAGCTCAGGCAATAAAAGCAGCCTTTATCCGTTCGGTGGAATTCGATTCTTACCAAAGGCATTTCTCTGACTATGAAGCTCGCTAGTGATTTGTTGCATCCCTCTATTTGATGGGCTAGGTTGGGGTTTCCTCATAAAATCTGGTTAGCTGACGCATCAAATCCACTCAAACTCCACAACTCAGGCTGAGGTTTGGCACCAGGCATTTCTGTCTGTTTCTGGACACTTTTTACAGGCTCATATGGTCTGTGCCCAGATGTTATCTATTTGACTGAAATTTACTGTACCCATATATTTAAAGTATATTACTCAATGTAGACTGTGCTTAAAACATTACAACATTGGCTGGTGTTCATGGCAGTCAGAGCACACTGTGTCATTCCATACATCTCAAACATCACGAGGAGAGGCTGGCCCTGTAATACTTGGAAAGGCATTAGCAGTGACACGTACATTTCAAGTATTTAGTCTGTGGCATGCAGCTCATTTATCGTGCAGCACATACACTTTCTATATCTTTTCCATCTGGGTGGATTATTGTTTGAAGGGAGGAAAGGCCCCTTCAGAGGTTACCAAGGATGTGTTACACGGAGTTTAAAGAAATGTTCTTAGGGGATGCAGGATCTGGGTCCATAGTCGAATAGAACAACAGCAATTGTCTTCCTACAAGAAAACTATACCTCCTCAGAAATACTGAGATGCATGTAGAGTCCAAATGTTCCCTATGTCCATCTCCACGTGGGTGTAATTCCATCCAACACAGAGGCATCACTCCTGTTTGTGCCAGTGTGAATAAAGGTGGTATTGCACCCTGAACTGATGTATTTTGGGGGCTCAGAGTTTTTCATCTCTCCTGTTAATCAGAACTGGAGGACTGAAGTCAGAGTGTAGCCTGGGGGGAAGAAAAGGCTGGAAGGGGAAGTCGTGTTTCACCCCTGCTTATACTGCCACGTTTCAGTGCCAGCAGACATCTGCTGTGCTTGTGCCCATGTACAAGGATTGGTAGCCCTTCATTAGATCTCTGGCAAAGGGAAGTCTCCAGGTATTACAGTGATGTCTCAGGGCTATCCACAGGCAAGAGCCTTCCCTGACTTGGGTTCACCTCAGAGACACACTCTTGCTACTTGGCCCCTTTTGAATCCTTTATTAATCTCATGTAACAAAGAGCAGAGATGAAACCTGCAACAATTTTTTCAATTTTTTGTGATACTAAATTGCTGCTCCGGAGGGGCACCTCCCCAGATCCAAAGTGGCAGCGTCTTTCACACACAGACTTTAATTTGTTATTGTCAGGGTCACTTTTCTCTCAATTTCCTTTCTTTTTGCTCAGAAGAGTTGAAAGGGAAGTGCAGAGGTACTTTTAAATCAGCAGCCAGACCGCACCCTGTAGCAGCTCTTGAGCGTCCCACAGCACGTGCATTTGTTGTCTTTGGAAATTGCTGCTTTCTGTTGTCTCCCACCCAAGAGGATTGATTTAGATTCTGGAAAACTTTTAATGCTTCCAATGTTGGATCCAGCTATCTGGGCTAGATTCTACCTCCTCTTTGCTTTCAGGAGCCCTGGACAAACGCTATTATTCATGGTTTAGCTGTCGTGACCAATTTTGCATGGGATATGACTGTTTGGGCTAGCAGTGAAGAATACCTCAGGCCTGAAGAGGTTTGCTGGTATAACACAGACCTCTTTTTCATTTAACCACCTCTCCCTACCCAGTGACAGATGCAGCACAGCTTAGATTCTCTCAGCTATTTTCTTCTGTGGCCACCATTCGTACTTTGATCATGTAAGAACCTAAACCTGTCCCATAAAGGTCATTAGACAGCCGGTGACTGTGATCACCTGGGCCACTGAATGAGCATTTGACTCACTGCCCCCAGCCTGTCCCATTCAACTTCACTGATGTTTTCTTTTGTTATTGAAAGGTCTGTAGGATGATGCTTTTCCCCATTCTCTGAGGAAGGAGCAATAAATAAAGTGCCCACAGCCTTGCTCAAAAACCCTTCATAATCTGGCTCTCCCCTCAAGGAGCAGGAAGGAAGGGTGTCTGCTTTAACTGGGAGCTAACGAGCTAATCAGCCTGGGGCGTCACTGGCACCCCGTGGGGATAAAGCTGTTCACACCAGGGCTAGTGTGAGCGTTTCTTTTGTGTGGAGGGGAGAGATGTAGCCTAACTTTTCGGGAGACTTTTCGGGAGCTGTTTCCTGAATCGGCGTGAAGCTTGCGAGAGCTGGGAGATGCTGCTGATTGCCTTGCTGGAGCCCACTGGGGACCTGTGGGTGTTTTGCCTTTCGTACCCACCTCTGGTGATGTTTCCCAGCTGCTGGCTTGGCTGCACCGTTCCAGCGCTGCTTTTGATGGGATGCTGCTGCTGCTGCGCGGCTACAGCGCCCTGTGCAGCTCGGAGGGCACCGGGGGATCACAGGGATCAGCCCAGCGGGTGCTCGCTGTGCTACAATGGCTTTCAGACCCAGAAGGGTTTAAAGATGTTTTGGAGAGTTGTTTTTCTCTGGCTCTGGGATTTCTTTCTGCTCTTCAGTGGTGCAGTGTCACGTTTGTTGCTCCCACTCTCTAATTAGCTCTAGTGTCTGTGTGATCCTGCCGGTGCCGGGGCTGTGCCAGCGGGCTGAGGCCATCTACAGAAAACGTAGGGTGGGGTGGTTGCTCTTTAACTTGCCCTTTGTGGGGGGGCTTACCCTGCTGCCTCTCACTGAGGGGGCTTTGCTTGTGCAGGGCTAAATAATTAAGCATCTCTTTAGGCAGGCAGTTTTTCCAGGAAAGTCTCTGGGCTGAGGAATTAGTGTCACGGCCACAGCTGCCCTATGGGGATGGTCTCTGCAAGCAGCATGGGTGTCTCCCAGCAGAAAGCATCGGTCTTCTTTTCTTGGTCTCGCTTAAAAAAACCAGGGAGCATAATTGGGAAGGAGAGTGAGAGAATGGTCCCCATTTTCTATTACAAAGCATTCATAATTATTACTTCACAGCTGAAAATAGGGTAGTTAAGGATGTTGTACAGGGCAGGAGGTGCTCACACTGCCTCATTATGTGTATTATGGTATTAGAAGGTATTTCACAAAATACAGTTCACAGGATGGCACAATTACAAAAAGTGCTTTTAAAAAAGCATATACGTATATCCCTGCTGAATAGTCCTTCCAGGCAAGGACTAAACACCCAGAACAAGACAACAGCAGCATGCAGATTGCCTGAAGAGGTTTTACTTTCCAGTTACCGCCAGACAAAATTCAGGCTAACAGCACAAGGCAAGCCTTGGATTCTCTGCTTCTCCAGATAAGTTTGTTTATCCTGTAGTCACTGCAGACTGAGCGACTCCCTGTGCCCCTGCAGCATGCCATGGCATGGGGTGTGGCAGCAGGGTACATAGCCTGTGGCACTCTAGTGGGGTTAGTCATCCTGTAAGCAACAGGTTTCAGAGGTGCCACTGAAGGGAAATGGCCCTGGTTAGGACAGCCAGCCTGGTGAGCCCAGGAGGGTTTCTCATCACCTGCGCCCTGGGAGGACTCATCTCCTGTCTCTTGCTCTCTTTCTCTGTGTGTCTTGCTCTGCTTCCAGGGGGAGAGAGGCATGCCAGGGCTGCCAGGAAGACATGGCTCTAAGGTACCTTGTAACCAGAGGAGTGATACTTGTCTGCCTGATCTCACCCATAGCACTCGCCTGTCCCTGATGCACAAGCATCGCCTGGAGTTGTGTGTGTGTCTGTTACTCAGTGACTGTCCTCAGCTGAATTATTTCTGCTTCTAAATTGCAAAATATAGGGCCTAATTTATGCAGGGGATGGTGGGGGAAGAAGTGTTTTATCAAGCAAATGGCATGCCCAGTCCAAGGCTGACTTGCAGCATCAGGGCCTTAATGCTTTATGCCAGCGAGAGCGGCCAGTGCCAGTAGGGAATTGGTGTTCTGTAAATTGGGGGTCCCAGGTGACCACAGCAAATGTGGGGTCAGCAGGGCCAACCCAGACTAATGCAGCGGTGAATCAGGGTCAGCGTGTGAGCAACCCTGCATGTCTGTGCGTGGCAGTTTAAGGAGAAGTACTAGAGAATAACCTCATCCACGTTCACTGCCATCTGAAGGCCAAAGAGTGAGGAACAGGCATCCCACCTGCACTGCAAAAGCCTAACCCAAAGCCACTTGCTGCACGTTATCCCTTTTCATGGCTCTCGCCCGTATTCACTGAAACCTACTGACCCTGAGACGATCTGGAATGCTTTTTCCCCCCGTTTATTGCGTAGAATCCCTGATCTCCATCTTCTGTCCTTGTGTTTTTTAGCTTTTGTCCCCGATTTCTGTTTCAGAAAGCTGAGAGGTATGATCCTGCTGCTCTCTGGCTCCCCACTCCTCATTGTTTGAACTTTTCCAAGCTCTTTTCACTTTCAACTTGGCTCCCAGTTCTCCTCTCTGCCTCATGTAGCTACATCCCAATCTCTTACGTTGCCCAACTTCTAACACCTCTTTACCCCCTCCCCTCTTCTTAGCTGTCCCTCATGTTTGCTTTTGTAACTGGACATTTTTGCCAGGACCTAACTAATACTAACACAGGGCATACAGAGACTTCAGAGCAGAGGGTTGAGAGGGACAACCTGATTTTTGCATCAGCGCTGTCGAGGACAATGTGGCAGTGCCTGTGGGAGCAGCTGGCAGGGGCTCTGAGGCTCCTGTCTGGGATGGCAGGGTAGGCTGGACCCCACTCTCCTGTGGTGGTGGCTCGCTCTGTGCTGCAGAATGACACCTGAATGGCAGATGTCTGGCTTCAGAGCTCTCCTGAAAATGTTTTGCTGCAGGGTTTGTCTCCTGTGATAAAAACAGAATGATGGGGAACAAACAGCAAGGCCAAGGCTCTGGGGTATGGGCTGGCCTTTCTCGGGATGCTTGAGCTGATGTATCTGGGCTCAAGTGCTGAACTGGGGGTTTGGTCCTTGGTCTGTCTTTGCATTCCTCAGTTATTTGACACTGTTCTGCTTGTTGGCCTTTGCTTCACTTGCAAGACTAAAACCAGGATGGGGGTGTAAATCTGGTTGTCTTGACTGGGTTGTGCTTTGGAGGAGCTTTCTGGAATGCAGAGCCACTGCCACAGGTGAACGACCTGTGCAGGGAAGGAGAGCGTGTGCTGTGTGGTGTTACAGCATTACTTCTGAGTTGTGGAAAGGAAAAGATGTGGATTTTTGCCTTCTTAGTTCCACCTGGCTGATACTGTTTTGTTTTTTTAAATTTTTGTGTCCGATTAATTTCAAACAAGGCGTTCCTGTCTTTCCTCTCTCTGCCAGGGCGCTCCTGGGATGGCCGCCGCGGGGATGAAGGTCAGTTTGACACTGCAATGCCTTGGGTAGGGCTCGGGCTGGGGCTGGGAGAGCTCAGAGCGCTGGAAAATGGTCGGACAGCTCCCACTAAAGGGAAACATCAGAACTGCCACGCCTTTGGCAGAGGTACAGGACCTGTCTGCAAGCAGCACCGCTCTCGGCTGAGCCTCATCACAGCCTCCCTCTGCACACAAAGCTGGGAGCAGGCAAACTCCAGGAGATGAGTCTTGTCTTACTATGCTCCCTTGTATCTGCTAAGCCTCTTGAAGTACTGCAAGGTGGTTACTCAGTTTTATACAGATGCCATTGCTCTCAAGTTTGCTGGTTTCTTACAGCAGCCTGGGCACGGCTAACGAAGCTAAAACAAACTCCAGGCACAGAAATACGCATCTTAAGCATTCTTATGCTCTTATTTACAAGCCCAAGGGCCCCATAGATTGAAGGTTCTTTTCTCCACTGTGATAGCTCTAGGAAGATTTGTACTCTCTCCTCTGGCTTTTCACTTTATTTTCCTGTTTCTTCCTCACCAGGGCGAGCCTGGGACTCCAGGAGAAAAGGTACTCTCAGAAGGCTTTGCTGTGAGCCTGCACTTCTGTTTGGTTTGTGTAATTTTTTTTCCCCTCCTGGAGCAGCTGAGGGAGCTGAGGGATGGCTCTGTACTTCCCAGTGCCCAAATCCAGGCCCAAATGGCACCTGCCAGTGTAAGCAAAATGGTAATAGGATACAGTGATACCAAGTGAGAGAGGGACCATATTGCAAACATTCCCTCCCTCCTGCTTCTGTCTGTGTGGATGGGAATACCCTCCAGCTGCCTTCCTCCTCTCCTCCCTACTCCACGAAATATGCACAGCACGCTTTGCTTAGTGAATATGTTCCCTCTGTCCCTTCGCCATCCCCTTCACCTCCCAGGACTTCTGAGCCCACCAGCAGCCTTCCCCTGTCCCTGCAGGGGTCTGTTCTGCTGGGAACTGTCTGCCCATGTTCTCAGTGTAGCCTGACATGCTTTGAGTTCCCGAGGCAGGCACAGTACAAAAGTACCCCATCCCTGAGCTCTCCATCCCTGAGCTTTGGTTTGGGAGCAGCTGGCCCCTCTGGTTTGAGGCTGGCTGGGTTGTGTTACAGCCACGTAACAGACGCGTCCTCTGTCTCTTTTCTTCCCCACGAAGGGAGATCCTGGAGTCCCAGGGAGGATGGGCCCCCCAGGTTTGCCAGGGAAGAGGGGGCAGCGGGTAGGACATTGTGTGTTTGGGCTGGGTGTCCTGGCAGTGCCGTGCTGTGTTCCCTGCGAGCGGGAGCTGGCGGGAGCCTGCTGTGTGTTGCATTATTGTGCTTGCAGGGGATTATGTGTCCTTTGCTGGCTCTTGCCCCCTTGGTGAAGTGTGTTTGCGTGTTCCTGCTTGCAGGAGTGGGGGGCTTGGTGGCAGGCAGGGCAGCATGAGATGCCTGGGATGTAGTCTTGTCGTGAGAGTGATTAAGGACAGTGCTGCCTCTCTGTGACTCCAGAAATAACACCCTACAGAGGGATTCAGTAATCTGACCTCCCCCCTCAAGAAATCTGCCGCTTTACACCCTAGTTCTGGCAGCACAAGATGATTTCAGTAGCCCTTATGAACACGTGTATTCAAAACTAGTCCTTGAATGAAAAGCAGCATACTGAGGCAGAATCAGGGATTCACAGAGGCCTGGGACAGGATTAGCCATTATATCTCTGCAAAAGCCCCAAATGCCCAACCTTTTCCTTGGGTCCTACAAACGTTTTCCTTCCTTCCAGAGATAGAAGCATTAATTTACGGCAGCAATGTGCACGTTCCAGCAGGGGGGGCAAGCTGTGGGGGTCTTACAGGTGGCTGGAGGCCAAATTACCTTGGAGAAAGGGGTCACTGCACTCTAGAATTGCCTGAAAAAAAGATTACTGCTAGTTAATTATTTTCCACGGAGCCACCAGTGCATGTCTGTTCGTGGAGCATTGATGCAAGTCCCCTGCATGTCAGACGGGTGCCCTTGAGTTCTGATAAGCAGCACCAGCCTCTGCAGGCAGAAACAGGGCTTCAGGAGCCCTTGTGGAGAGAGCTGGGCACGTGTGTGGGGAAAGAGGATTTGAATTGTTCTGTGTAATCTGTACAAGTCACTAAATCTTGGAGGTGTGAGGGTTGCAGGTAAGAACACACCTTTCCCTGGTGATGCATTTGAAACATCTTTTCAGGGTAGCAGAAACCTCTGATATCTCTCTCTGTCCTGGCAAAATTCACACTCCCAAACAGGACACCGTGCCTGGAACCATGGATGTAGCAGCTGGATGGAATGGGGCTGAATGGAACTTAACTTCAGCATGAAGACTGCTAATTGAGTTCCAATATTGAAAATATGGCCCAGGTTTCACGGTGAACTAAGCAAAGCCACTTCACCAAGGCAGTGCTGTATGCCCTCCATTGTTCCCTGCCTGTGGCATCTCCGTGGTGCCTCACACAGCCCAGCCTGCAGCCCTTGCTCTCCAGGCATCATCTTACACCATCAGCTGCTGTCTTTGCCACTTTTGCCACTCTTGTCTTGGCTGCTTTTCCCAGCCAGTGCGTGTCACAGAGCTTGGCTGCCAGCTGAGATGCTGCACTGCTTGTTTTTTGTAAGAGCACGATGAGACTGGGATTTGGAGTTAGGGAAGAGGGAGCAGGGCGTGGGGAAAGTCCTGTGTGCCAAATAAAACTTGCCCTGGGCAACAGCTTTTCTGCAAGTGAACCAGGGAGATCTGGGGCTGAAGAACTGTCAGGGAAAAAGGATTTAGCAGACCAGAGGGATGCCTGGGGAGACCCTAGATTCCTTTCCCCCTCACCTTCCTTTAGAGAGAAATGGCAGTGATGTGTAGAGATAGTCAAAAGGACAGGTGAAAACATTCACTGCTGGAGGATGCCTTGTCTGTGCCTAAAATAAAATCCCTGGGGAGGGGAGGGAAGGTTTGAAACCAGGAGCAGCTCACCCTTTGGCTGCTCCTCCAGGATGAAGAGCCTGCAGAGGCAGCCCTGACCATGTCTGCTTTGCCAACAGGGTGAGAAGGGACGAGCTGGTGACCCTGGGCTTCCTGGACTCCCTGGGCCAAAGGTTTGTCTCTTCCCTGATATTTTGGTTTTGGTGGGGCCACTCTCCATCCCTTTCCTCCCTCCCACGTGGCGTAGCTCCCACAGCTTAGGTGACTGTGGCAGTGTGTTCTGCAGCACTCAGCTGGGTGTCCATGCCCCAGGGATGTGAGGGGGTACACAGAGGATGACTTCTGGTAAGGAATTCCATGCCCTCATGCACGGTGGGGAGGTTGTGGTCCTGGGAATGGGAGCGTGGGACCGGTAGTTCCAGTAAGTCCATATTAAAAGCATGACCTCGGATGTAAAGTGGCACTCCAGCCTCCCTCTGGCTCCAAGATCCTCCTGTGATGAGGAGATGGGCTTTTTGGGAGCTGCACTGCTGTGCACTGAGTTGGAGGAGTAGCCTTGTGCTCGGAGAGACCTGGGGCAGGTCAGCTAAAGCTAAACCTTGAAACTGGCTTTTCCCCTGTGCTCTGAGGTTTTTAGGTAGAAATCACAGCTTTCAAATCAGACTTTCACAAGGTGCTTTTCCTTTGGGCAAGGGGACAGTGCACTGAATGACAGTGGCCATTTCAGGAAGGTGTGTAATGGCAAAGGTGTCCTGTTACTGCCTTTTTGTCTGCTCTGTGCAAGGGAGGTGGTGTGCGGGTCTGACTGGCTGATGACTACAGCTCCTGAGGGAGGCATTCCAAAGGAAGCCACTGTCAGGTGGTTTTACCAGCTCAGTTTCAACAGCAGAGCACAGCTGTGTTTGAACTGGAGGCCAGGGATGAGGTCTGTGGAGGGGCTTGCCATGGACCCCAGGCAGGACTGGCCTGATTCCTGGCCAGCTCCTGGTTCTGGAGCAGTGCCTTTCTGGACTATCAAGAGTCCAGCTGATGGACCTTGTCTTGGGCCACGGCTCTTGAAGCCAACAGTTTGGCAAGTGAAGTTACTGAGATGGAGAGTCTGATCTGTGACACGTGGCTTGTTCTTCTTTGCAAACAGGGAGATAAGGGAATTGCTGAGAATGCCTTGGTGGGAGCTAAAGGAGAACCTGGCCCTCCAGGTCTGCCTGGACCCCCTGGACCAAAGGTGAGTGATTTTTCCTTCAGGGAGTTGTGTGTTGTGAGGGATTGTGCCCAGCACAAGGTGTGTAGGAAGGAGCAAAGGTTGCATTCATCTGTACCCACCTCTGATTACCGGCTGAAGGGATATCAGGTTCTGCAGGGTGTTTTAGTACCGTTGTTCTGAATGTGAATTGTGTTTCTGGAAGGAAAATCCACTCCTTGTGCTCAAGTAACTCCCCTCTAGGCTCTGAGAAACCAATCTGAAGGTCCTCTCTGCACTGGATGGAACAGAAGGGCTCCTGGTGGGAAGTCGTGGCAGGAGATTTGGGCTTTCTGAGGAGAAGGGATGCTTGGCTGATGCAGTTCTTCCTCCTAGAAATGCAAAGCCAAAGTGAAGTCACCCCTGCTCCACCCAACACAAACCCATCCCTTTCCCTTTCTCTTTCTGCCAGGGAGAAGCTGGTGACGTTGGCCGGCCTGGTGCTGCAGGGTCACAGGGAGAAAAGGTACAGAGAGTTTCTGCACAAACCAGCTCCAGGTTCAGAGGTTCAGTAGCTGCAAGTTTGTTCCTACATGTACAAAATTTGCTGGAAAAGGAGGATTTTAAAATTAAGCTGTTCCAAAGGACCAGCAGAGAATGATTCCTGGAGTTCAAGCAAGTGCAGGGCCAGGCTCTGCTAACAGCATGTTCTTCTTGTTACAGGGGGAACGTGGTTCACCAGGAGACCAGGGACCCATGGGCCCAAGGGTAGGTGTTCCTTCACTAATGAGGAGTTTGGGCCCTTCAGAGGCATCTAGGGATAGTGGGGCCATCCTAACAGTCCAAACTGGGGCTTCCTGCCACTAAAAGTGCTCACAGCTGGGCAATGGCTAAGTTTGAGACAGGCCATTTCTCCACTCCATATCCCACCTCCACATTAGAGGGAAAAAGTCTTGCAAGCCATCTCAGGGTGGCTCCTTTGTAGGATGAGGTGGGTTTGGACATCCCAATCTGAACTCAGGCCCTTGGCCTGTGAGAGAAGGGCAGCTGGGTTGGCTGCACTTCTGTAGTGCTTCCTACCCTACAGAAGCTTTCTGTAATAAATGAAAAATGGCACACTCATGAAACAGGTCCCTCTGAGCCCCCTCTTTCAGGGTGAACCACAGCTCTGAGCACCCCAAGGGAAGGGCAGTCCCAGCCCCTGGCTGAAGAGCTGGTATTTTGCAGGGCCCCAAAGGAGAGCCTGGGAAGGATGAAATGATGGACTATGATGGGAACATCAGTGAAGCTCTCCAGGTGAGCACCTACCCTCCTGTGAGGTGACTGCTGGATGCTTTACAATTTCCCAGGGGATACAGGCAGCTGGGAACGAGGCAGATCTGCTTTTTTTGGCAGTAGCAGCAAAGGGAAACACTTGGACTCTGTGCCATAGTCCCCTCCATCCCACAGCTCCCTGCATGCAGTGTTTTGGTCAGTACCTGGGCACCTTGTTGGGCTGATGGATTAACACCAGTGGGTGTAGAGGTCATGTGAATCCACTCAGGAGTGGCACATGGCGTGGGGTAGGTGGTGAATGAAGGCCTCCAAAGCTTCCTGGGAATTGTGCACTGAGAATGTGCCATGAGTGAGTGGCTGTGCCCAGCTCTGGGTTAGCCTAGATTCCACTTGGGAAAAGGGGAAATTGTAGAATAACAGCTCTGTGGGACTCAGTGAGGTTTTTTTGCTCCTGTTATTTCTGTAGGTTCCTTCGTCAGTTAGGCAAGTGTTAGATTAGTGGAGAACAAACCACCTCCAGGAAAATGCTTCATTTTCTGGTAACTGTTTTAGTTTTTAATTTTAATATTTTTTCCTGTATTTTCCTAGGAAATAAGAACTTTGGCCTTGATGGTGAGTTCCGGTCTTTGCCGTGGGGTTTTACACAAGTAGCCTTCTGTCCATCCTAGGCACAAGGCCTGACAATTTAGGTGCAGCAAAAACATTTGGCCTTTGCTGTTGGGAGCTAAAGCTGGGGCAGCTGACAGCTGAAGGAAGAGCTCATCTTGCCTTCTGATCTTGAATTCTGATCAGGACTTTGATCTCTCTGCTTTAAGAGGTAATACATGCTGCTCAGAACAGAGAGCGCTCAGAAGGAGCAGGGAAGAACAACTCTGAGGACTCTCCACTGCTTGGCTTTCCAGCCAAATATGATTTTAGAAATCCCTTGAAAAGTTCCCTGTGATTTCCCTTTAAACTCCAGAAAGTCTTTGGGTTTCAAAACACAAAAATAGAAGCCCTGTTGATGATATGAAAATATTTTTTTTCTTTATCTAGGGACCCCCAGGACTTCCAGGTGTGGCTGGACCTCCAGGGCCACCAGGACAGAAGGTACTGGCTCAGTTCAGCACTTGCAGAGCTTAAGGAAACACAAGAGTGGCCCAGACAGAATTCCCAGCCACAACTGTCCCCAGTGCTCCTATCTCTTTGTCCAGCATTCTTGGACTGTCCTGATGGCCTCTACCACTCCTCCTCATGCACAGTATCCTGAAAATCTCTTTTCCCACAATGATAATGCCTTATCTGAAAGATGAAGGATCCTTTCTACTTGCCCTCCCCTTCAGGAGGCAGCTTGTGGGAATTGCACTCTGTGGGACTGTGTCGGTTGGGGTCTGTGTTCCAGCACTGGGGCTGTGAACTGGCAGTCAGGATCAACAAGACCTGGAAAATGCTCACTCAGGCAGTCACACAATGTATTGTTTCAGCAGGGGCTTCCATGCTTTATTTTCTGTAACTACAGAAACCCCAATTTTTTCCACCCTTTTTTCCCTGTGATTAGTCCCTGCAGACTGTTTCTGCAGTGCCCATCCTTCATTGTCACAGTGAAGGAGTCACAACAGCTGCTTTCAAACTGCCAGAGTAACAATTCTGTGTTTCAGGGTGAAATTGGCTTGCCAGGTCCTCCAGGCCACGATGGAGAGAAGGTAAGGCACGATGCTCTTCCCTTCAGTGGCCTTACCTGGAGTCAGTGTGTCCCACCTCTGTCACTGAACCAGCACAGTTGCTTTTCCCACAGGGGAAAACAGTATTTTCCTTCACAAAAGCGAGCATTAATGGTTTATCAGTGTCCTAACACTTGTCATGGCAGTGCTACTTTGTCCTGTCTCCAAAGGGCACAGCCATGAGGGACAGGATGAGCAGTGGGAGAGGCTTGGGGCAGGCAGGAGTAAACTTTCTCTTATCTGTAAAAACTTCACTTTGTGTTGTGTGAATTTTTTTAGGGACCACGTGGCAAGCCTGGAGAAATGGGCCCCCCTGGCCCTCAGGGACTGCCAGGAAAGGATGGACCCCCAGGAATAAAGGGAGAGCCAGGCCACGCTGGGGTCAGAGGAGAGAAGGGTGATAAGGGAGAGCCAGGACAAACAGGCTCACCGGTGAGTAAACCAAAGCCTCCCAGAGTAGTGGTGGTTACCCAGGTTATGGGCAAGGCCCTGGGGCTCCTTGGGCACCTCTGGGCCCCTCTGAGGTGGGTGCTGCTGTGTGAAGTGTGACACTACAGAAGTGAGATCCTGGCCTCTGGCAGATGTGCTGTCCCTGCTGCCTGCCCTGTGTCCCTCAGCTTGCTGCCTGGCGTGCTGCTGGCACTGACTGTGAGCAAGGAGGCTGAGGCACCAGCACACCCCATCCTGGGAGGGCACCTGCATGGGGTGACATCCCTGCCACTAACGGAGGCACAGTGCCTGGGCTCCCAGCTCATCCATCACAGCTTTGTGTCCCCAGCACTGCTCAAGGGGGTTTTATGCGACGACTTCCTGCCTCTCTACAAGATCACTAGGACAAAACTCCTGCTGTCTCAAGAGCTGGCTGTTGGGGAGTGATTGCTAGCATGGACTCCAGCAACCTGCATAACCACGAGCAGAACATGGAGGCAGGAAAGCAGTACCCCATCCCCGCTCTGGGGACTGGCACATCCGCAGTGGCAGGAGGATGCTCAGCCATTTGCTCGTTCACTTCCAATACTGGCAAAGCCCAGCATTTCCCCGGGCACCTGATGGATGTCTGGGGTTTTCAGAGTGCTCTTGGGATGGCCAGAACCAGTCTCAACTCCTGCAGTGATGTCTTGTGTGTCTGCCTGACTTAGTCTTGAAAAAAAATCCACAAGTCTGTCTTGATCCATAGGGTCTAGATGGCCCCACTGGAGAGAAAGGCGAACGAGGTGACCAAGGGATGCCAGGACCGTCAGGATTGCCAGGTCCCATTGGACTTCCAGGACTGACAGTAAGAATGGGAAAGTCAGGCTGTTCTTTCCTTCTTGGTAGAGAGAAAACAGCACAGAGAAGCACACAAGGGTTCATTTCCCAAAGTGCTGAGTGTCCCGGGAGCCTCAGAGCCCTGCCCCTTAATTAGGTGTCACAGAATGTCCGTCGGGTCTGCAGCAGCAGGCAGGGAATGTGGAATACATGATCTGCTCCCACTCCTCCCCGGGGGAGCTGCTGCTGGCCAGCACGTGGGTGGTTCACAGATGGCTTCTGATGGAGGGAGACTCCGGAGCACAGCGGGTGGTGACAGGGTCTGTTGTTGTGTGCAGGGAGAGAAGGGTGAGCCTGGGGAACACGGAGACAAAGGAAATCCAGGAGAATCGGTAGGTCACCTTTCCTGTGTTCCTTCTGCAACCTGGGCAGCAGGGGAGGGATGATTTGTCAGCAGAGCTGCTGGAAACAGGCACATCCCACCTCTGGTGACACCCCCCTCAGTGAGGACAGCAAGGCCTCATCTCATGGGACTGGATCACCAACCACCTCTAGCTCCTGATGCCACCCTTTCCCTGACACAAGAACAGTCTATCTCACAACCAGCAGTCAACAGGGAATGCCTGGGGAAGAACAGAAGATCTTGGAAAGCGTAACAAATATTTTCCCCAGCATTTGCAGTACAAGGGTTTCCTAGCAGTACTTGCATATATATATGTATATATACATACACGTTTGGTTTTTTTCAGTAGGGTTCTTGAATTTGCCCATTCTGCCCCCAGAACTCACCCCTAGCTGTTGGGAGTGCCCTGCAGCAAGGAGTCCCACGGGCTATTGACATATGTGGAGACAGCCACCTTCTTCCCTAGCTTTTGCTCTTTGATCCTGTGCCTCCTTGCAGGAACTGTAGTAGAGTAGTGGAAGTGGACATTTCTTTGGAAAAAACCTCACTGCTTTCCCTCCTCCTAAATATTTGCAACTGCTGCATAACCTTCTCCAGCATCCTGCTGCTGCTTCCCAGTCACTCTGTCCTGGATCTCTGCTGCTTCCTAATGCAGTCCTTAGGGGGAGTCCAGCTCTCCCAGCCCTGGCAGGGCTCTGCTGCACCCTGTGCCCTGTCTGCCTTTGTCTCATGGGCAGCACACTGACAGTGACTTCTCCTGCTTTGCTTTCCAGATATCTGGCCCCCCCGGACCCCAAGGCCCTCCTGGACCTCCAGTAAGTTTTGAGTGATTCACCTCAGGAGCAAAGCACTGGGAATGGGGATGGAGTGGGAAGTGGCCAGGGAGGATTCTGTGTGGAGAAAACAGGCAGAACCACTGCAGTGTTGAAATGGGAACAGGTATCACTTCCAAACCCACCCCCAGGGTAGGTCAGAGCTACGGTGAGCTGGGTGGGCACAGAGAGGAGGTTATGTTAGTCTGAGATGAAAGGGAAGACAGTGGTAAGATGGGATGGATGGGATTAAAGGGATCGACTGCAGAAATGGTCCTAATAGCATCCCTGGCCCCCTGCCAGGGTGTGCTTGGCAAGAACCTCCTCGTTTCCAGATGGGAACAGTACATGAAGTGCCCGTGACACAAATAAAGAGGCCTCTGTGCCCTCAGGAAGCGAAAGCTCTGTACTGAACACTGAGCTGGGATACCTGGAGTTCAGAGCCCATCCTGAAACATTACTCATATCTTGTCTCTCATCCCAAATACAGGGTCTTCAGGGCGTCCCAGGACCCAAGGTAAGGCTGCAAAACGTTACATCCTGAAACTTTACTGAAGTTGTCCTAGGTGCTAGAATTCCCTTCAGTAACAACTTCTTAGTTTTCACATAGTACTTTTCTTCCGTCTTCATAAGAGGACAAATCCTTCTGGATGTTTTCTTGAAGGAAATGGATCTGCAGCTCTCACTTTAGGGCCCAAAAAACTGATTGTTCCCTCCAGTTTTCACCCAGACAAGTGGGAAGTCACTGGTCCACAGAAATCTTCCCATGAGAACACAGCTGAAATGTTTGCCTGAAGGGTAAAGGTCTGTACAGCAGGATGAACAAACATCATGCAGCCCTAAGTAACTGAAGGGTACCTTGAAAGGAGCCTTGAAATTACCCTGAACATTCTGCTGTAAAGCACTTGAGAACTTCCCTATCCCTGGTGGTGAGAAGCTTTCTAATCTCCCTCTAAATGCTCAGCCTGCACCATTGCTTTACCTGCTGTAAATCAGCTCCTAGAGAAAAAATAGTTGAGTGGAAATATTCAAGGAGAGCTGCATCTTTCCTCTGACGTTCTGGGCAAAGATTGGAAAACGTGGCAAACATCTTAATTCTTCTGGTCATCCTCAGTATTTGGCCACCAGCACTGTTGGGGTGCTGAAGGGGATGGTGTCCTTATCCTGATTCCCCTTTCCTCCAGGTGTTACTACAGACACAGTTATCTGTCAGGTCTGTAACTCAGCAGCCACTGCTATCAGGTGGCTGGGAGACTTGTGTAAGAGACTGTGCAAACCTGGTTCTTCTGACACTCCTGTATCAAAATGCAACCAAAGTAATGTCTTAAAATGCCTCATGAACAGGAATGAGGGGAAGGAAGCTTTGGGTTACGCTCTGAATTTGTGAGGAAAAAATTATTTAATATATTGTGTTTTGTTTAGTATTGTTTTATAGTTCATAATACAGAATTTAAAAAATACAGTTGGGAAAGGAATGATGAAATTATTTTCTCCAACTGTTTAAACTGATGCCTTTGCATTTGCAAAAGTCTTTGCAAAGGTGACTTCTGCATGATTTTTCTTCAAAGCTTGTAGACCTGTCATTCACTTCCAATGAATCCACGTCTTAAAATGTAAACCCACCCTATCAGATAACCTCAGGTTATTTATCTATAAATATCTGTACAGCAACAACAGCAGGGAGAGCAGCACAGGAGTGAGCCCAGTTCCCCTTTGAACTCACAGGGCCTGAGTCTCCTCCATCTGCCACTGACTTAGAACAGGTGCTCACATGGGGAATATGACTGAAAGTGGTTTTCTTCAGATTGGGCTGAGAATTGGGCTAGAACATTACTCTGGTGCCTCCCGTGTCCCCCCTGCTGCTCTGGGGCTCTCTGAAGGGAGGAATGTTGCTTATATAAGTGCTGTTATGGTGGGTTTATTTTCTGCTCCATCCTTCCTTTAGGGGGAAGCAGGGATTGATGGAGTGAAAGGAGAGAAGGGTGCCCAGGGTGAAAAAGGAGACAGAGGGCCACTGGGATTACCCGTAAGTATCCAGGAAGCAAACAGCACTTTGGGAGCCAAACTTGTGTCCGCTGTAAAAAGATCCCTCAATAGGAGACGCACGCGGGGATTTGATACGTAAAGACAGAGAAAGAGATGGTCTATAAATAACTGTGCCTTTGCTCTGTACAGAGCCCTCAACTTTCAGATCTGGTGAATAGATCAGTGACCACTTTCTTTCTTCCTGCTTCTGGGAGGATTGGGAAAAACAAGCAGTAGCTTTCCTGGGGGATCTCTGCGCTTCAGGGCAAGGGGACAAGACCAGAAACAGAAGTCAGAGGTGGAAATGGCAATGCCTTCCCAGCCACTTGTCACCTGGGCCAAGCTTTGTACAAGGCGTGGTGGTTCTCAGTGCACCCAGGTTCTTCAGTAGCCAAAACATTCCTGTCTCTTCTGCCACGGAATCAGTGCTTTCCCTGCCCTGGCGTGTCCCTGCTGTGTGTGAACTAAGTCCCTTTAGCCTCTGTTAGTGCACTGGCAGCCAGAGGAATTGTGGCACAATATGTTACAGAGAAGTTGCAGGAGCTTTAGATGCAAATCTGGGGACTTGGAGAAGCTCTTCGGTCACATCTGCTAAAGCCCACTGTGTGAGCTGACAGCTGATAACGAGTTAGTGGTAACTTAGTCCCACCCACTCGCTCCACCAGCCCCCAAGTTCTCTCCTCATAAACAGCACTGGTGGCACAGTACACCCTCTCCCTTTCCTGAATGCTCTGCCTGGAATGAGCACTGCAGAGTGCATCTCCTGTACTGTGTGACTTTGTTGTCCTGTGTTTGACCACCCAGATCCCTTGTCCCTCACTTTGGCTGAAATGTGCGTGTCTTTGTTTGTAAAACGTTTTCCTCCTTTAGTTGTGCTGTGTAGCTGTTCCCTTCCAGGGCCTGAATGCATCCCCTCTAAGTCCAGGCCCCCAAGTGAGCTCACATGAGTGTATTCCTGTGGCTCCAGGCAGAGCCAGTGGGGAGAAAGCAGTGCTTTGGGAAGGCTCAAAGGCAGAGGACGGTCCTCTGAGAAAGGCAAACAGAAGCTTTCTGTGGAGATGGCTATTTCCTCAAAGCTGTGGGGTATCTGGACTGGGGAAGGAGGTCCTTGTGACAGTCTGAGCAGATGATGCCCCAGCAATTGTCCTGACCAGCCCATCAGCATGACAGGGAATGTGCTGACTGCTTCTCCTAGAGCAGTAAGCCCCATGAGCCCCCAGGGTCCCTTGGCTTTTCGTGTCACTCTTCCTGAGCTGTGGAGGGGGGAAGGCTCAGAAGTGTCCTCTGGGAAATACTTTGTTTGGATCAGCTCTATCAGCTGGCCAACCAGGAAGCAGTTACTGAGCTGCTGGTGGGATCAGACACTGTGGACCTTATATCCCTTCTCAGAGCCACTGAACTCTGTTCCTAAGCTTTTCCATGCCTGATCCAGTGTGTCTTCAGCCTGTCAAACTAAATGCAGTGCCAAACAGGTACTCAACTATTTCAGACTCTGTAAAATCCTGCAGCTGGACCTGCTGCCTTTTCCTGCGTGACTTAGGGCTTGACATGATGCCAGCATTTCAGCTGCAATTGTCTGCAATAGCCTCGGGCTTCTCTACAGCAATGCAGGTCCAGCTCTGCTGTCACATTGTTTTCAAGACCTATCCCAGAACAGCTGCTTCCCCAGGGGTTTTCTTGGTGGCACTGAGAGAAGGAAACTGGCCCTCTTTAAGAGGATCTAAAAGTTGCAGGTCGACATTATGTGTATTCAGTGTTTCTATGTTTTTGTTGGTTTGCTTGTAAGTACCATCGCCTGTCCTTGAGATCTTAATTTTTGTTAATTGCAAGCACATGTTTGTCTCAAGTCACTGCTTCACTCACCTCTCCCCTCCTGTCTCCTCCTGCCTTGTTTTTGTGAACCTTCCCCGTCTGTTCAGGGTGCTTCAGGTTTAGACGGCAGGCCTGGACCACCGGTGAGTTCCATTTCTCCGTTGCCCTACGTTCCTCCTCCCCAGTTCCGTGATTTGTTCTGTGTCTTCTTTGTTCACACCAGGAATAACCTTAATTTTTTCCAAAGCAGGCTTGGGAGGGTGGCTAAACTTAAACTGGGGAGTGATGTCACACATTTGTCTTTTTTGATGCTATGATCTGTCTGAATCCTGGGGTCACAGCCGCCTTGTTCCACTTCGTCTCAGTAACAAGACGAATGAAACCTCTGCATGGTTCCATGATGTTCTGTTCTCCTGTCCTCTCTGTCCTGAGGGGTTTCCCTCCTGTAGTTCTCCACGGTAGCCTTGCTTGCTGCCTTTACGTAACAGGAGCTCTTCAGTTTTGTCTGAGGCGTGATAACACTGGAGCGTTTTGTCCTGTGACAGGAACCTTCATGTCAGCTGCTCTGACTTCCCAACAGAAGCTGAATGGCAGCTTGTACACTCACTTGTTTGGGGATATTGTAGATTTAATTTTATAGATGTGCAAGGGAGACCTCATGTATTCCAAGGCACTGAGGGATGGCTAAATGCAGGCAGTTAAGATTTCCATGGTTGTATGAATCCAAGGAGAGCCCGATTTTTCTTATTTCCTTCACCACGCTGAAGTTGTGCTGCACGAGCTACTCCTCCCCTTGTATTCTGCAGATCTGAACTTGTCTGAAAACCTGTCCTGATCCACGTGAATCATCCTGCTCACATTAGAGGGGTTACTTCAGTGACTAAGGGTTGCAGGCTGACATTAAAATGTACAAACCCCTTTGCCTTAAGGCTCTTAGAAGAATTCCCGAGCCTTGGTTCTTCCTAGGAGGCAGATAATATGCCTCAAAAGTGTCCCTTTGTTGAGGCTCCATGATGGAAGTGTAGATCCATACCTGTGTGGTTAGCAAGGTGTGGATGGAGTTCAAGGAGTCTGTACAGAGTTGGAAGTGCCCAGATCCCATTCTTAGCCAGAAGGACTATTGCTGAACTGGTGCACTGCCCACATTAAAGATCAGCTTTGGCTCATTCACTTCCCAAAGCCCCAGCAAGTTTCAGGAGCGCTGGGAAGGAAGTTTGGTATGTTAGTGGGGGATGGCCCCTGTGTCAGAGGGTTAGGAACAACACTGGATTTTCCTGTTGGCATGACTGGGGGCCTGGTGGAGTGACAGGAATGGCAAAGAGGGAACAGAGGGACTGAAGGGTACCCCTCGTAGTTCACATCTGTGCCTGTGCACCCCTGCATTCCTTGCTGCACCACGGGGTCTGTCACCTTGCATGCACAACTCACTGGCTGCCACCACATAACCAAATGCTTTCCATTGATTCTGTGGGGGGGGGAGAGAGAAAATAAGGAACTAAAGGAAAAGAGAATTGCCTAACATAATTCTAAATGGCCTGTATTCTGCTACAGCTTTCAGCTTTGTCTGATACAAAGTAGAGAGAAAGGATTCCTGTCTGTGGAGTTGGTAGAAATGCCTGCTGAAACAATTGTCAAGGGAAAGCTTCAAAATTAAAAATAAGGCTCTGTACAAGGGTGCTGGTGGGATTTAACTTAGCAGCTCCCATTGTTCAAACTGCCACCAACACTGAAAGCTGTAGTGGTGCGAGGTGCCTTCCACCACCAGACTGTCCTTCCACGCTGTGCTTTTCCTGAGGGAGCAGTGGTGTCTCCTGGCTTTAATGAGGCCCTAGAATAAAAACATCCTGATGTGTTTTCCTTCCTACAACTGCAGGGTACTCCAGGACCAATTGGGGTTGCAGGACCAGCAGGACCAAAAGGAGAAAGGGTGAGTTTGTATCAGAACTGGCTGATGCTCTGTAACTTCTCTGAAGATACAACAGCTCTGAGGGATAGAGGAGCTCTAGGCTTTTCCAGAGATGGAACTGCCCTCTCCCTGAGCAGACAAGACCCTCAACTGGGCCTCTTTGATGTCTGAGTACCTCATCCTTGGGGTTTTAGGTGCTCTGAATGCATCCTTTGCTTTTTCTTCTCTAGTGCTCTGCTGCCTGTTTGTACTGAGTAGGAATGTAGCAATTTCTGCTCTTTTGTCTCCATTTCAGGGCAGTAAAGGAGATCCTGGAGTTGCAGGACCAATGGGGCCAGCAGGGCTTCCTGTAAGTATGGGAATACAAGGGGTTTATCTACACAGCCTGTTTCCTTGGCAGCTGAAGATGCTGCAGTAATCCGGGGTTTGCAGTTGCAGCTGGGTTGAGTGCAACTCATCACAAACCTTTGCTCACTAAGGGGGTGACAGAAAGAGCTCAAGAGCAGTGACTCAGAGGGAGGAGGAGGAAGCTGAAGGGAAACTGTTAGTTCACCTTGGTCCTCGAGCTACCAAAAGAAGCTGAGTGGGGCTCCCAGGATAGGTGTCTTAGTCCAAAATGCTGCTTTGGAGCACATCTGCTCCCTTTACTTTTCCCAGCCTGGCTGGGAGAGCCCTGTCCTGTCATTGCAGGGACAAAAGCTGCCTCTAGTGAGGTTAATTAATTCCACTGTTTGGGATTGTTTTTTAACAAACAGGGCCAGTGTTGAAACTCTAGTGTCATGTAATGGTGAAGCTGCTTCGTTGTTTAACACAAAAAAGAAGCTTACTGCTTTTTTCAGGGATTGCCTTCTCCAAACTGGTTTAGTTTTTATCTGAAGAACCCTTAGAGCAGAGCAGTGCTGTTACAGCCTGGATGGTCTGATGGAGAGGAGGTTGTCTGCTGGAAAAGTTTTGTGTGTTTGTAACATAGGTGGAAAAAACCCAAACTCCTGAGCATGCATTCTTCGAGTGGGAATACAGTGAGACCTGCTTGTTTTAAAATATTTTATTTTATGTTGATGCATTTCAGGGTTTACAAGGTCTGCCTGGTGACAAGGGAATCCGGGTAAGTTACCAGGCAAACTTCTTGTATTTAATTACTAACACATTTAATTACCCAGGGACAGTCCAGTTAACTCTGAGCAGCTCTCGTAGCCAGCATGTGTTTGTCTGCTACACCTTCACACCAGTGACTTTGCACACCTGGGTTTTAGAAGGTGATACCTGTAGCTTGTCCCATCACCTGGGACATTGTGGCACGTCTGTCTGAAGGCCGAGGGAGGATTTTCCGATGTGTTCCTTGCTGTCACAGCTCTGTTCTCACCAAAGCATGGCTCTCCATGTGTAGTTCAGTTAGGCCAGCGTGCTGTGCTTTAGGAAATCCTGCTTATCTACTTGCTGATGTGTGTGAGTTCCCATGAGAAGTAGCTGAGGTGCAGCCAGCAAATCTTATTTTAGTACTTTTAAATTCCCCCTGAAGCATGAAAAAGAAGGTCGTCCTCGAGCAAACACTCCTCCAGAGAACTTGGAAGATGGAAGTTTAGAAAAGATAAATTAAATTTGCCTGCCTTTAAGAGCCAGACATGAAATCTCTTCAGGCATTATCCGGAATGGATGTGATGGTGAAGAGTTGGGTCAAAACCAGTAACATGAATGGCAGCCTGTCCATTGTACCCCCTCTGCTAATTGAAAAATAAACATTACCAAGGAGTGTATGTTGAGAAGCTCCTTCTTTTTCATCAGGTTTTCTTGCCTGTTAAAGCTCTGAATCTTTTTGATAAAGACACTTGCGAGCTGTAGTTGAATATAATTTATATTTAGAAATACAAATGACTGCTGGATTTGAGTCTTTGTAAGATAACAATTGTATCAATGTCAAGCAGTTCAAGACAGTACAAATGTGTGTACTCACACACCTCTCCATAAGACTGGTATCACCTAAATCTGTCTGAAAAAGTAAATTTTATAGTGCATGTGCCCGTGTGGTGATTTCATTGTATGGATTTGCTTTTGGTACATAGTGAGTGTTCTCTGTCCTCCATCTGCAATGGATTTCTGACCTTACTCTGCACAGAAAGGGCAGTTTTGTAAAGCAGCAGCCAACTGGCATCTTAAACTAGGGGAGAAAGGTTCAAGGGAGCCCCAGAGTTCTCCCCTTTTTTAATCATTGCGTTTCTGGCTTTGCTTCTTAACTTCCTCTTCACTAACATGTGTTTTGTTTTGTTTGTGTGGCTTCTAAACAAAAAGTAACTCTTAATTCCTAGACTTTTTCAGTTGGTTTTTAAACTGGGTATCTTAGGAAGATCTTTCATTGGCATGGGTAATGGTAGATGGGATTTTTCTGAGCTGTGGCGTAAAAGCAAGTGAAACTGGGAGAAATTGCAGCTCCTTGTGGAGGATGAGTTGGAAAGCACAAGTGGGAAGTTGTCCTGGCCCCTTGAAGCGTGCGTGCACTTTGCATCGCTGCAACCCACAGTTTGCAATGATGAAAAAGTGTGAGGAGCTTGAGAGCGTAAATCAAAAAAAGCAATATCTTAGCAGATGGGGGCCTGGAAAATGAGTAGAGGGGCTTCCCCTTACTCATCCTAAAGTCCCAGACAATTTGCCAAAATTCTGCCTGTTCCTTTAGGCAGAGCAGGGCTCTTTGAACCCCAGAAACGTTCCTGCTGCCCTCTGCTCGGAGTGGGAGACGAGCGTAGCTGTGCCCGGGGTCGGGCCCTGGGTAGGGACGGGAACAGGCAGAGTTTTGTGTAACCCAGCTGAAAAAGTGTGACCCCTGAACTTTTGCTGCCAACCTGTTGCCTTCACTGTTATTTTAATGCCTGTGTGGTTTTTTTTCTTCTGTGTATGTGCATCTTCCTCGCTCCTACAGGTCCACCTTTGTCCCCTTTATCCCTCCGTCCTGTTCCGCCTTTCTTCCTGGTTCCTTCCTCCTGCCTCCAGAGCAATCCATGCCGCACTTTTCCTGGATTATCCTCTCCATTCCTGTGCTTGGCTCTGGGTGACTTCTCCTCATTGCCTCTCCTCTCCCATCCATTTCTTTTGCCAGCTTTGGGTTTAACGCTTTTTTTTTTTTTTTTAAGAAGAAACAGCAGCCCGTGCTGTCTGACTTTATCCCTTAATTCCTTTAACGCTCCCTACAAGTTTTGAGTTCAGTTCCCTGTGCAGCCCTTTCCCCTGTTTCATGCTCAGCAGCTCTGAGAATTTTGTGTTCTACAGGAAGATTTGGTACAGGTGTAAGTGGCAAATACCACCCTAAACCCTTGTGCTGCCAGGGGAGAGGGTCAGGGAGCAGCTGCTGCCCTGTGGCTGGGCTAGTCCCTGGTTTTTTTGGGAGAGCACTACTCAGAGCATCCCAAAGGGCTGTGTGGACTCTCAGGGCTGAGTACTGCCTTTATTCCCTGGCTGAGAGTTCTCTGAGTGAGACTTCCATTAAAAATGAGAATTCAGAGCGGTAAAAAAAAATATCTTGGTGCCATCCCAGAACTCCAGTGGCAGAGGAGGGACCTTCCCAGCCAGCTGCAGGTTGAGGATTGAGAAGGGGTGGCACACTGCTGGCTAGGGGAGTGTTTGCCCATCCTGTGTGCCTGTTCCCTGAGGTGCCTCTTTCTGGAGTGTGGGAAGCCCCAAGAAGTCCTCTGATGATCCCTTTGATGCTGAGCCCTCCCAGTCTGTCAGTGTGGGACTGCAGCCACAGCCAGTGTGTTTATGCAGCTCAGTTACAGCTCAGCAGCTCTTCACTTTACATCTCAAATGGAGATTTCTTTTAAAATGTTTCCTAAATGTTTATCCTTTTTTTAAACTATCGCTGACATTTGTTTGAAATGGATGATCCTAAAGCTTTTGTGTATTCTTTTTTTTCTCGGACTAAACTATTATTTACAGGGGGAGAGGGGCAAGAAAGGCTCTAGAGGGTCTAAAGGGGATAAGGGAGACCAAGGAGCGCCTGGATTAGATGCACCCTGTCCGTTGGTATGTTCTGTTTCATCAAATGTATTGTTTTAAGATGTGTTGATGGGGAAGACAGAAGGAAATCATAACATAAATAATGGTCTTGCAAAAGTACAACACTTGGATAAGGCCTGGCTGGGTTCCCACCTCATCCTGTGGCAAAGCTGCTTTCTCCAGGGGGAAAACCCCAAATCCCCTGAGCGATCAGGCTGCTGAGTGACCACAGTTATGTTCCTTCCTCTTCCAGAGCCCACAGAGGTTTGGGGTACCACGTCCCATGTGCTGGGAGCCCAGGGCTCTGTCCTTTGTGGATAGAGCCCTGTCTCCCTTGCTGCCAGTTGCAGCTCTTCTCCGAGATGTTCAGTGTGATCCTGTCTGTGAGACGGCAGGACTGGAATGCCGGTTCCCTGCCTCGGAATAAGGGCCAGCTGATGGGACAGCCTGAGAGCACGCAGGGCACTCGAGCTGCAGCACCCAGAGGGAAAACAAATCTCACTTATCCTAAATGGGATACGTGTCTGTCGAAACAGATTGGCTATAAATCCAGGCAAATGAATTAATATAGGAATATGTGTACATTTTTATCTAAACTCGTATGCTCCAGCGAATTCTGCCAAAAATCTGTAGCAGTGCCACAGATCCCGGGAGTACCTGTGGATCATGTGTCTAGAAATCCAGCTGCTGGGTTTCCTAGTGAGGATCGGAGGAAGGGGTGATTCCGAAACTGAGGAAACGCCATTCCCGTCCTCTCAGCTTTAGCTCAGGGAAGCATCTCCTGCCTCGCAGATCGTGGAAAATCCAAAAGGAAGCTGCTGGTGCTGCTGCTGATCTGGGTGTGCAGCAGAGTGCCCTGTGAGGGTCCCGGTGGGGGCTCAGCCTCTCCCCGTGGCACGGAGCTGGCAGTGACTGGAATAACGACAGTGGTTGATTTCATGAACAGGGTCTCCGAGGTTTTAAAGGCGAGAAGGGTGAGCCGGGGTTACCTGGGCTGGACGGCCTGGATGCCCCATGCCCATTGGTATGGCCTACCTTCCCTTTCCTGCATGCTCGTTTGCTTTTTGGGTCTTGGGTGCTACTTCTGATACCCCCAAATAGCTGCATGCCCTAGAAACACCCAGCAGCTCCTTCCTTACCCGTCTCCATCCTCCCTTCCTCACATTGCTGCTCTCACAACCAAACCAGGCCCTTCCCCTCGTGCTGTGATTCCCAGCTGCTGCCAGCACTACTTTGTGGCATGAGGAAAAATAGTGGGAATGCAGATTTGTTTACAACTGCTTTGCTTCTCCCTTTGACAACTTCCACTAAACTGGCCTATGCAGACCCAGTTCTGTGCTGGCTTTGCTTCCTTGCAAGGACCTGCAGTGCTCGTGTCCTTCATTAACTCTATTTTTTAAAGTGCTTGTGTTTGGTAGGCACAGCCTGACGTGGCTCTGTATTACCTCACTCACCCCCTACAATAAGATGACTGAAAATAAGTTATCCTGTTAGCAAGCCCATGTGAAACACATTAACTGGACACTTCACCTCCCTGTGAGATAATTCCTATTTATGACTCTCCCCAGAAGTCCAAATTGTACCCCTAGTGTCAAAAAAACTTGTGTGTTTCCCAATATCCAACTGATTATTTTACTAGTGCCTGATCTAGCCCAAGGGCTGTAAGAAAAAGGTTTTCAGGAACACTTAATCTCAACTCATTTTGAAGTATCCCACTAAACATCACCAATTTATTCATTTTCTCTGAAATTTTGTGGAGATGCAGCATTCAGGTGAGGTTTTTACTCCCTAGGACAGTCTCAACATCTCCATGATACAAAGAAACTACTCCCCTGCTCCTCTGGTTTATTTGGCATGACAAAGTTTGCTTGAGGATGGTCCTTCCAAGCTTACTTAAGGATGTCTGCCATTTCCAAGGAATGGAAGATCTGTTAGTTCAATTAGCTGGAAAAATGCGTTCCCAAGGCAAAAAGTCACATTTAGTTTGGAAGGTTTTCTTAGTTCTCCCGGGGAGGAAAAAAAAACTGTGAAATTGCCATTAAAAGCCTTTGTTATTTGAGCTTTGTGAAGAGCTAACCCGATTTCCAGTTTTCCTCCCGGCACCCCCTCCTTTGGGCACTGCTGGTGCCTCTCTGGGGCAGTGCCTTTGACAGTGGCCACTGGTGAAGTCTCAGTTGCTGCTCTGTAAATCCTGGGTAGTAGAAAGAAGCTTTTGTCAGTCCCACAGGTGAAACCAGACCTGTCCAGAACAGCCCAAAAAGGAGCAAAACCACAGAGCCATGTGTTCTGCCTCCCGATGGTCATAGCCAGGGTTCTGTGGAGTAAGTTTTGGCTGAGTAAGGCACCAGATTCCCAACCCCTGTAAGGATTCCATGGGTGCCCTGGCAGACCACCCCTCTGTTTGTGCCGCTGCTCCCAGTGAGGGTTCACCCCACATGGCCGTGTTGGAACACACACTTCTTGTCGTTCCTATTTTTATTAAGGGAAACTTGCCAGAAAACCTGATGAAATGCAGATGCTGTTATTTTTTAGATATAGTGTTCTGGCATGCGAGCTAGCTTGGGAACGTGAATAAGCATGTTTTTGGATCCAACTAGGTTAAAAGCTCAGCATCCAGCTGACACATCCACGTGTGTAGCTTATGGGGGCTGTGAACTAACGCTTTGCACATCTGAGATATGTGGAAGGAGATCCTTGGTGCTAACAAGCATGTCGTGTTTCCGTTCTCGGCACATTCGCCCGCAACAAACACTTCCTCGTGACCCTGGTCTTCCTTTGATCCCTGAGCTGTAACTCCCTGGCCTCCCATTCCTTCGTACACCTAACTTCCATCTCCTCCTGCACTGCACTACACCAGTCATTCCTACCACCACCAGTGTACCAATGGGAATGCCATAATATGCCCAGTAATTAACTGGTAACTCTGTATTTCCACATAGTGGGGGGGAAAGGGAAGGAAACAGCACAAGGAGACCACAATTTAAAAAGTGCATTTAAAAAGCAATATTGTTGTGGCAATGTTCAGTTCATCAGGCCCCTGAACATGCATCTCTGTTAAATAGTTCATTTCTCAGTGTATACTGTGCATTTGCTTTTCTGTTTGTATTGGTTTGGGTTTTCCTGGGGAATAGCGATAGCTCACGGATGGGCCACGTGGACACAGCACAAGTGTTTGATTTCTCGTGTCAGAGATGTATCTCCTTCCATCTGACTTCACCTCCTGCTCAAGAGCACCGTAGCACTGACATGACATCCTGTTTTCTCCTGTCAAACAGGCCTTCACGGAGATAATGTGAACGGCAGTCAGTCATTCACAAAAGCCTTTCCCAACCGTGGGTCTCCATCTTTTAGTAGCACAGCCCTTAATGCGTCCAACCTTCTTCAACATTAAAAAAAAAATTAAAAAATAATAATAATAACAACAACAACACACCCACACGGGGCTGTGCAGCCCAAGACATCAGGGTTGCAGAAGTGCTGGGGGATTTTCACAGAAATCCTACTGCTGTTATTGAAGCCCAAGACCCTTTCCAGGGAGTCAGCTGAGATGTCCTGAACTAGCACAGGGGCTGCCCAGCTGCTTGCCTTCGTAATTTCTCTGGAGCGGGATCTCCTCAGAGGCAAGAGGGGACAGCTGGGCAGGATCTCACATGACCTTTAGCAAACCCTTTAGCAAATAGGGCAGAAAGGAAATGGAAGGGTTTTTTCCAGACCTTCCTCAGGATCAGAGGTTAGTGCTGACCCTGGGGTTTGCTTATAACCCCAGCCAAGCCAAGCCTGAGGACACAGACCCACCACCTCACGCTTTCCACTGCCTTCCTTCCTCCTTCCTTGGTGGAAGCCTGGATAAACTATTCCCCAAGGAGGAATGAGGACAAGCCTACAGACCTCATGTGCATAAGTCCCTTGCACAGCCCGAGGGCTCTCCCCTCTTCAGCCCCAGCCCTTGCTTCAGGTTCCTTGAGCCAGAAGTCTGGGTCACTCCGAAAGGCTGAGGAATATCTCAGACTATTCCTCCAGCCCGGGTTCATGCTGTTTGTTGCAGCTGTAATAGTTAACCCACGCCTTCTTTCCTCCATCTCTGCAGTTCTGCCTGTGTCTAAACTGCTGTTGCATCCATCTCTTTTTCAGGGAGAAGACGGGCTTCCAGTTCAAGGCTGCTGGAATAAGGTAAAATAGTCTTGGAAATGCTGCTGTGCTGAGTTGGCAGTGCCATGTGTTCTGCTGGTGTTTTCCAATTAGTCTGGTTAAGAGCAAAAGAGGTGTGGAGGCTTGGATGGGATTTCCAGGACTGTACCCCTGAAAAGCAGCAACCAAAACTCCTCCTGGTTTGTGTATCAAAGTTCAGCTCTATGTGCCACAAAGGAGAGAACTGTCTGTGTGGCCTTTGAGCTGCCTGGCCCCAAAGTGCTCTAATCCTTGCACAAAGATTAGATTTCCACCTGGATTCCCTCAGACCCCCTGGGGTCTGCCCCACCTTCAGCACCTGTTTGTGGATGTAAATGCCAGGTCCTCAAGCTGCAGTGGTGGAGGCAGAGTCAGCCCAGGCTGAACCTCCTGCCCTCACTGCCCAGGGAAGAGGAAAGGATCCCTGCTGAGATTCCCATTGCTTTTCCTCCTGGAGACCCTGGAGCCAGCTCTTCCCTAATGCTCTCCTTCCCCTCACGCCCTGTGAGCTGACACTAACACCTGGTAGTGAGTTGTCACTAACACTCGTTTATGTTTTCTTTTGCAGTGATGATTCTAACCCTGGACTGGCCTGTGTGTGTTACTGTACATAGGATATTTATTTTTATACAGTGTTCTTCTCCGAAATGCCAAAAGTTACGCATTTTTACAAATTATCAAAAAGCTGCATATTTTTTTGTACAGAAAATACTAGATTTTTCCCCCTGTTTGTCAGTTCTCTGTATGTTTCTACGTCTGCATTATGCTTGTTTTGTCATGGAGTACAGCTGTAATATTTACATGATACTTGTGCACACATGATGAATATAGGAACTTAATAAATTATTGCATTAAAGATGCCCGAAGGAACTGCCCTGTATAGATTTAAAGGTCATTTTCATTTTCCAAGCTGGGTCATTCAAGAATATTTCAAAATATTATGTATTTTTTATTAAAGTGAAATATAAACAGTTTTGTTGTGACTGAATTAAAGTGTTGCTGAAAAACTTCCGTGCACTGGGAACGTAAAGACTCCATGATTTATAATTATCCTCCCATGGGCTGGAATAACGCTCATGACAGTGAGCCCTGGCTGGCAAAAAATTCTAACCTTGTTCTAAATTGTAGGCGTGCGAGTAGCTCAGTGAAAACCTCGTTTAAAATTAAGCATGACGCAGAACTCCTCCATGATATCTCGAATGAATGTTATGGAATGAAAATCCACGTGGCTTTTTGAGATGTTAACCAAAGGTCGCATGCAGATTTGCAGTGTGCCATTACAGCTTGCATCTGTACATCTTAATTATCCGTCCTGACCTGCCTTTGTTGGCGTCACAAGTCTGAACTACCCAGAGAGGAAAGCACTGCCGGGCTGAAGTGACCATCACAATGTGCTTCCCTGGGAAAACAAGCGGAAGCCTAAATCCATTCCCTCAAACGTGTCCACTGGCACTGGCCCTTCACGTAGGGGAGAGGCAGTGGGGAACCCAGGAGATTCAGGGGAAACCACCCGTGTTTAACGATCCCAAGGGAGAACCGGGAGTGGTGATTCATTAGTGAGCCTGATCCACTCGAGTCCTGCTCTTTGTGTGGTGCCACAGGAGCTGGGCTTCTCCTGGCTGCAGCTGTGCCAGCTGGAGTGGTCCCCACCACCACCCCTCCTGTACTCAGCTACGCTGCTCAACTCTTCATCTGCTCATAAACTATTCATTAGTTACTTCCCAGATGATTCCACACAGTCTTTTAGCACCTTCAGTCAAGTGACAGGGTGTAAGGGATGTACTTCCCTGCTACTCAAGGACTGCCCAAGGAACCCAGCCCATCCCCTGACTGCTGCAACCCATCTGTCACCTCACCCTTCCAGAAATTTACTGAATTTCATCTAAAAACCAGTGAGGTTTCTATGCCTGTGTCCGCTCCCTCCCCGCCCCGCAGGCTGTTCCGACTCCAGTGCTCTCGCAGTTAGGAAACTCCTTGCAACTTTCAACCTAAACTAATTCATGGTATTTACAACCATTTCTTCTCATGCCAACATTGTCCTTGCGATGAAACTTTTCCATGCATGATGTTTTGGGAGGTGCTCGGAGTACTGGAGCTGAAATGGCACAGAAGGAAAATGAACCGCAGAGCCGTGAGGGATTCTTGTTGGTTTTCTCAGTAATAGCCGTCGTTAATACAAGCCCCAGCTCCCTGTTACAAGGCTTTGCAGCTGTGGAGCTGAGCTAATTGGCACAGCCAATGTTCCAATCGCGTTTTAATTGCTCACCTGTTAAACAAAGCAGCTCCTAAAGACCTAGAGGGATACACACGGGGGTGTTTTTGGGTTCGGGAAGTTGTAGCAGCAGTGAATTTCTACTCTGATCTTGGAGCATTCAGCTGCAAGGTAGGATGTTGGAATGCTTCAGCTCCTGCTAAAAATGCTGGCTATCCTTAATCCCATAAAACTTACAGATCCCTAGGAGAACCTGCCAATGCTTCCTGTCCCCTTTGGTCTCTGTAGAGTGGGTTTTTTTTGTAGCTGGTGTTTGTGATTGCACTGCATGGGGTTGTTGTTGCTTGGTTTCATCTCATCCAAAAGCAAAGTGCACGTCTGTAACCTTGCCCTGGCACAGCTACTGAAAGGTAGAGGACTCCCGAGGTGATACTGTACCTGTTTTATTTCTTGAGCAGTTTTTTGACTGACACATTTGTAAGAAAGCTCTGGCCTGAGGCGCAGGAGGCCTTGAAACGTAATTGCCCGAATTCTTGAAAGTACCTGACTTGGGTCAGCACAGACTTACCTGTTCCCGGGGGAAATGTGTAAGGTACCCACTCACCTGCCCTAAAGGCGGGAATTTGGTGACAACTGTTCCCTGCAGCCACAGCTTGGGATTTTAACTGAAGCAGATGAAAGAACATTTTGGATTGCTGTTCCTACAGCCCCGGTGCTGACACAATCCCATCGGCCACTGGGGATAGACCGGGGGTCAGTGACACCACACTGATCCGCTGCTCTTCCAAACCTGAGCACTTTGCATGTCGAGAGAAACCCAAACGGTGGCAGATGGGCTTGTACCACCCTGTGTGTGACAGTTTAGTTTCAGGGTCTGTCCCTACTAAAACCTGATTACTGTAATTGTGCCTGGCTGTTTTCACGTGAAACCCTTTGTCTGCCACTTCAAGGGTCAAACTCCTTGGCTGATAGCCAGAAAGTGAGTCTGAGGGTGGAGAAGTTTGGGAAATGGCAGCAGAGTGAAAGGAGAAGGAGGACCTTCCTGAAGATTTGCTGGAGATGTTTTGCAAGTTGCCTCCCCGGAGCCTGGGAAGAGTTGTTGAGCTGCGCACCAGGAATGTGCCTGCTGGGGCTGCGGGAGCTCGGCGTGCCAGCGCTTTCTGCTTTGCTCTCTCTTCTCCCAGAGGCCAGAGGCAGGGGTCGAAAATGACACCATTTATATTCTTTTCCTTTGGTCATTTTCACTTCATTCGACTATTGTGGTCGGATTCTTCAGATGAAGAATTAGGCTCGTTTTCCAGCAGCGGCTGCATAAATGAGTGCAAGACACAGACGATATTTCTGGGGGGGGATCTTTTGATCTGAGAGAAATCTTCCTTGAACAATTCTCTTTAGGAGAAGCAGAGAGCCCCCCGTGTTCAGCTCAGAGTGCTGCTCAGACAGGACACGATAACACTTTTTGCTTTTGTTTCTGGTTACCAGATGACAGACTTCCACCTGTATCACTGATGATTCCATCTTTAACCTTTTCATCACAAACTTTCTTCTCCTGTGAAATTATAAGAAAGTGACATTGTTTCTTGGTTGGTTTTTTTTGTTTGTTTGTTTTTTAAAATTTTTTTTAACCATTCTGGATTTTTGAAGGCATGAAATATGTATTCAGAGGAGGCAGATGTGGAGTGTGGAAAAAGTCTGGTTTCACTGACTTAATTCCTTTGCTTCCTGTACTTGTGCTTTGGTCTGCACTGCACACACTGGATGTGCTTTGTCTGGAGCCCTCCAGAAATGTTTTCTGCCCGCCCATTAAGGCCCTTTTGTGGGCATCTCTCCGCAGATGTACTTCCAGATGGAAAATAAGGATCAGAGGTTCAATTCTGCTCTTACATGTTTCAGTGCATTCACTGAAGGGAAATAAAGGTTTGGCAAAGTACTGAGAGCTTTGGAGGATGCTTCCCAGCTGCCTGAAGGGCAGAATATACAATCCTGGATACCTCCTACCAACTGCAAACCTGGCATCCCTTCCTCAGCCCCTGCTGCTGAAGGTTAAATCCTGCTCACATGTAAGCTCTATCGAGTGTCTTGCCACCACAGCTCTTGCAAGTTATTAAAAAAACACCAAAACAAACCTAAAATAAATAATTAAGTATGTATCCTATGAACGTGACTCATAACATTTCTACTTCCCTGAGTGCACTGGGAATCCCTTTTGCCCAGGCACTAAAACACACGTTTAACTTTGAGCCTGTGATTCCCGCTGGCCTAAATGATGCCATTTGCATTCTGAAGTACTCTGGTGAGGCAGGGCCGCTGCTATTAGAGCTAATGAATGATGTTATCTGAGTCATTAGGCAGAATTAAACGATAAGCAATTCATGCCACAGTTCAGAGAGGAAGAGCTGATTTCAATCTCAAAGGAATGTATTTCAACCAGAGCAATCCCAGATTCAAACGCCCCTTGTCAGCGCTGGACTCATCCTGACCTTCTGATAAGGACACCTGTATCTGACACCCATCTCCTTCTGCCAGCTCACAGAGAGTCTACTGTTAAAATAATTCCAGGTTTACAAAGACCGGGGGGAAAGTCCTACTTTCATTTTCGTCTGAAGAATTGCAGGATTTTTTTTTTTCTTAAGGTTTCTAACATATATTCAGTGCATCGAGTAACAGGGGAAGAAATTGTTTCAGTTAGGAACGAGACTGGTGGAAAGGTTAATTTATTTTATTTGTATTTTTTTTATTTTTAGGGTTTTTCTGGGGGGAGGGGGTTGGAGGGAGAACCTGACCAGAACTGCAGGCGGTAGGTGTGCATTTTTCCTTCTTTTTTTTTTTAATTGAAAACAATGGTATATATAACTTGATGATGTTGCTTTTACTTTTCTTTTTATTAATGAATTTTGGGGGCAATTTGTGTGCTCTGTTCTGTTTTCCTGTGTTTTCTTCTCGGTATATTTTTAATGGGCTTTTAGAATAAGTGTGTAAAAGTTCCTCACCGAAAATGTCCTAAGGACATTTCTATTGTCTTTTTTTTTTTTCCCTCCCTAAGTTCAGTAGTCAAATGGTGCTTTCCACAGGCAAACCAGTTTTCAGTGGGGATAAACATATCCCCACGGGCCACACCGAGGGACCAGGTACCAGTGGCCTCTCCCAGACAAAACAGCTCTCTCCACACTCTCCATTTACATTTACAAAGAAGAAAAGGGCTATGTGAGGGATCAGCCGACTGGAAATGGTCCCTTCCCACCTCAGGGGGTCTGTCGGGAAGCAGCTGGTCTGGCAAGAGCCGCTGTGTCCCCTTCAGCTGCATTCTACAGCCGGGCTAGAAGGCTCTGTGAAATTAAAAAGTCCTGTTTATTTGAAGATGGCAAGCTCTTGGAGGGTACCTGCTAAAGTATTGCTGTCTCTTGCTGTTGTTTGCCCTCCTCGGAATCCAGGAATACTCTCAGGCTCAGGCTTAGCTTTAGGCTGTGCTTCATGCTGAGCCTATCTGCAAATGCTTTGCTGGATGGGGGTGTCCCCTTTTTTTACTTTTTTTTTTTTTTTTTTTTTTGGTGTGTTTTTTTTCTCTCCCTTTCCTTTTTTTTTAATCCCTATTGCTTCCAGATGTCTTTGCCCTGGACAAAGTAGGGGTTTTTTCCCCTTCATTTTCAGAAAATCTCTGTTGGTCACGTTCTGATAATTTTCCACTCACTTTCATTATCAATTCCTCCTACCATCCTTCCTCCCTCCGTGTAGGCCTGCTTTGCTAAACATTTTGATCTG